AGTCCTGATACAAAAAAGACTACAAAATGCAACAATAAGAGAAATGCAGAAAGACAAAAAGCGAGCAGAGAAGGAGAAAAGTTTTCAACTCTAGCTATATACCAATAAAATAACTCCTGAACAAGTGATAAGAAAAGTGCAATATTTTCTCGGAATGTTTATGATAATCGTGCAAGGACAATTAGTTAAACTGCTCATTTGTTATCTCTTAGAGAACAGTCTAACAATCTTGCGTAATTTTGTAGCCTGAATGGTAGTTGAAATCGAAAAAGGAAGTAAGTCATACCCGTAAATGTATTTTCATTTGGGAATTGTCATAAGTCTCACCAAAATCACATTTTCATCCCAGAATGCACATAAATAATAGTAATGATGTACAAAAAAAGCTTGAATTTCACCCGCTTTTCGATGTTGTAAATAAGAACGCAGCAATAGTGGCTGATGATGCTGAGGGATGTGAGAAGGGAAGAAGTGCGGAAACAAGAACGACAGAGTAAACTGATGGAGGCGTTTCGTCTCCTCCGCCAAAACCACCTGCCAGGCCACCCCCCTCAATTCCGCAGGCCCCCAGAAAACACTGCTCAGCCATTGACACAGGCGCAACGATGGAGCACACTGTGGACGTGGTGAAGATGGCGCTCCGCCCTCCCCGTGAAAATGCTCCCCACATCATATCCACACAATTGAAAATCTTTCGGAGGAAGCAACTTGATAACTGGCGGCACCGGCAACTAAATGAAATAAATTTGAATTTTAAAGTAAAATCTATTTTGCCGAGGAAAACCTTCAACCACATCGTCTTCACCATTCCCCCCCAATGACGCCCCATTTCAGCGAGGGGCGGTTTGTCACCCGTGCACACATTTTCACTCTTGCACTGACTAACACCGTTGCTTTGCTCAGAGGAGGACTTGAAATTTGTCGGAAATTGTTTGGGAGGATTTTTAAATTTATTTTCCTCATTGGCGGAAATGATAAATTTACCATTTACTTTTTAATGCTCTCTCTTTCACACTCTCCATGGCTTCTTCCACAGCATTTATGTAGCACTGCGAGTACACATTCCAAAGTGTAAACTTCCTTTTTTTTCAGAAAGCTGGAAGAGTTCGTGAAACTGGAACTGCAGAGAACTTAATAACACTGCTCAAAAAACTATACCTTGTCGGGATCAGGTTTCGCGATGGACGATCTGTGGTTATATATTTTGAATATTCACAAAAATATATAATATTCAAACTTGTAGTTCGTTGTCGACGAAACCTGCATACTGCAAGGTGAAGCCATCAAAATCTCCACGCTCTCGCCGTAAATTCAAGGTAATTGGACAGAAACCTATATGACAATATGTAAATTTCCCGCAGTTTCGCATACATATGGTGTCAAACAAGCTTTTCATTCGTGAAATTGTAAATGAATTTCAGGAAGATAGGCAACAATTAAATTTCAATTAAATTTCCACGCTCACGCATTTGACTCTCCGACAACAATCTAGGGAAAAATTCACCCTTTGTCGCTCCAAAACCACCCAAGGCAGCCGCACATCGGACTCTGGGTGGCACATAATCAAAAATGCTCAAGTGAATACACACTGGCACATGCAGTGGAGTAGGAGAAAATTGGTGAAACCATGGCGCACTCACCAGAGACCCTCAATCTCACCATCCGCCCGCAGACATTATTGAATTATGTCTGTTTTATGCAAAAATACAATATACAAAATGCTGAAGGATGCCACAATTTCAAATTGCATTACTCCCATGCACACACCCTGACTCCGCACCTTCCCATATTGCCCACTAAATAGGTTGGTTTCGATGCAATTTACCAGATTGTATTTTGCGGATGTGTCTCGTTTAATATTGTTACAAAACCCCGACCGCCGCGACCCCACACACCACCCCCTTTGCTTGGCTCCCACGCAAAGGCAGCGGAGAGCTCTCACGCGCTTTTTTGCCCGCAATCTCATTCCGCCACCATCAAAGTCACATGAAAGCAGAGAGCTTTTCGCGACCCACACACTCTGCAATTCCAAGTGCACACACAATTGGCACTGATGCCAGAGAAAACATGAAAACACGCACGCTGTGCTTCGGTATTTCACACTGCAACAGCACATTTTTGCACACACACCATCGCTTGATCCGATAAATTCATGAATTCTCATTAATATTTATGTAATCTCTGACTGTTTCACACATATTTGTAGCGAATTGAGGATTATGCACAATACGTTTTTTATTATTGCCAATTTAACATTTGCAATTAAGGCACGATTGAAGCAATTATTGAGTGAAATTTGGCAATGAATCATTGCAAATATAGCTTTTTACCCTTAGTACGAACACCATCAATTTTTATTTTTACAATTGCGAATTTAAGTGAGTTATGAGCAAAACCCTATTTACCTCAGCTGAACTTGATGGGTCACATATATGACCCACATGTCCTGACCCTATAAAGTCTAGAGAATCTCAAGCACTTGCAGACAAACACATTCAGCAAATCATATCAAACGTCAACACTAGAAATATCAGAGAATCATTTGGAGTGTAAACACTGTAGTGGCAAGGAAAGCAAGATGCTGACAGAGAGTGACTTCTGTGGCGGAATGTTATTCGACATCGCTGTCGATCTACATTCCGGAAATGTGAATTACCGTTCAATTTCGCCCAGGCTGTCTCTGTGCACACCCCCAGAGCCCTCAGCACCCCCAGAGCTCCCTTTTCGGCACACCGTTGCATCGCAGCGAGGGTTCAAACTGTGTGTCTACAAATTCAGTCACTCAGGGCGTCACAGCGGCCACCCAAAAGCTCGACCCCCCACAATCGTGTCAATCGACATGGCGCTTGTAGCAAAATCCACCCTCAGGCCCTCATTTAGTGCACCGGATATGAGCATGAGCATCCGTAATGAACAATTTGCCGCAAAATTGGAATGGCGCAGGCACAGCAAGGGAGATAGAGGACAATTTTTGCGCAACAGAGGGTTGGAAAATTGTCACGATCGCACCATATATTACCTACACTTTTTTCCACAATTATCACCGGGACCAATTTACAAGGATTTTTCAACTGCACAGACCCAATGTCTAGGACTGGGGCGTGTATATGTGGCGAGGGGACAAAAATTAACCCTGATTATTAGATTTTTTTTTCTTCCCTCACTGACAGTAGAAATTTTTCCACCCACTCTCATTCCTCCTGTTCATTCGAACACTCTCAATCTTCACTGACAGAAGCCCTGAATATTCCATCGCTTTGTGTTTCATTGGCAAATTAAGCCGGGGAGTTTTTGTTTGAAAATTATGCCCTCTTCTATTGAGTCAAATATAATGTTTTGCGATAATAATTATCCATAAAGCTAAAATGCATACGAGTAGAATGATATGCTATTGATCAGACTTTGGCTCACTGAACAGTAAACTAATTGATCAGAGTGGAGTTCCTGCAAGAGGGTTGAGTCTTTTTTGTCCTCCACATGTGAACATTCACAAAATAGAATCACACTGCACGACAAACTCTCTGGAAATGCTATTTCCAGAACACATCTAGTCACAGCCATCCTCCATATCGACTCTATTTTATTGTATCTTCAAAGAAATAAAGTGAAACCTCTTTCAAGCTATATCGAGAAAGTTGATGTCAATCTAGAGGAACGCCAGAGTGATTTCTACGATAAGCAAATTGTCTACAGAAAACAGGTAGAAATACAAGAAATGCATTTGAACCAATTACCTTTTATGCAAGAACATACAATGAATGTTATTTCAGCGGTAAGAAGGCACAGGATTCAATTTGTACATATATTCAATAATAAAATTCCTACCTTCACAAGTGGCATGAAACGTGAAATATTTTTCGTTCAAATCAATTTTGGCTGTGGTAAGAAAATTCATAACCCTAACGAGAACAACATCTAGACCTAACCGAGCAATTTAACCAAATAATTCCGCTTTATTCCAGCAATCGTGATGAGGAAAAGTCAGTAAACCTGCGTGGAAAGATTTGTTAATTAACTTAATGTAAATAAGCACAAATTAAAGATATACGGCAGCATAAAGCATAGCATACCTTTAAAAAAATTCATCGTAGTTGTAGAAATTATTCCCAATTTGCACAATGAGCACGAAAGTTCTTTTTATAGCCATTCTACAAGTGATGGAGAGGAAATTTATTTTTAGCAGAATGTTAATAGATTATCATATTTGATTGTAATATTAGTGACTGATGCTTTTTATCAATCTATGTGTTAACACATAAATAAAATATACATAAAGACAAATGTGTGTTGGCAAACAAGTCTTTTCGCAAATTAAACTCACACTTGTATTACATATATGTAATATCTGTGGTAAATAGTGAGAGAAAATACATATGTACACGCATCAGGGATGAATTGGAGTTGAAATTGAGGCGCATAAAAAATGTAAAAATTCAGCTGACCACCTATGACGCGTCATTCAACACTTCACGCGAAATTTTGACCCATTCTTATCACCACACAGTCAAATATATACTTTAAAATCGATCCAATTGACGCCAAAAATCACTAACAAATCACGCTAATTCCCAACACATTAGCACATCTCCACAGTCTCGCTTTGGTAGATTCTAGTCTTGTTACCTAAAGTCTTTAGTCTGTTGAAAACAGCCGAGAGAATCTGACTTGGGAGAAACAGTTCTCGGAATTCAGTTTTTCTCCCAAGCGAAAATTAGATTCACTTTCAATTTCGAGTGACTTTGGGAATCTCCTTTTGGGGTGTGACAACCGACAACACTATACATAGCTATAGAACATTTGCACGCAATTATTGAATGGATACAGTTGTGGAGGAGATACACAGGTATGTATTTGCCAAATAAGAAGCCAAGGATAATTGAAAGGAGAAAAAACTGAAGAGGGAGCATAAAATCTCTCTGGGTAATTGGCTTTTGGTACTAATACGCAGTATTGTTTCATTGGAAATTCAACATCTGACTAAAATCAGTGAATCGCAAGCAATGAGGTCGGATCAGGCGAGAAATGGGGATGTGGCTGTGCTTTTGACGCCACCAACTCCAACTACGGTTCAGCCAACGGCGATTCCTCAGCACCTCGATCACCAGAGCCTCGTGTCCTACTCCCAGCCTAGCAGTCGCAGGATGACCGGAGAGAACACAACTCTCCAGGAAATGGTAGCCTTCGCGAGACGACCATCCGCTGTTATGGCTGCCTTGAGGCGGAACTCCACGGCGCTTGTCGCCCACAACAGACGACTGTTTCTCGAGTGAGTGAACCCCAGATCAATTCGCCAGCAACCAATTAAACCCGGGAATCCTTGCAGTCTCTTGCAGACAAACTCACCAACAGCCACTGGTAGTAAGCAGTCCCTCAACAACGGCGTATCGATCCACAATAGCGCATCTCGCGAAGCTCGCATGAAAAATCGCCGAATTGGAGAGTATGTGCTAATTATATCACTAAATATTCACGCATACATCGTGCTTTATAAACACCCAGCCGCAATTTTCATTCAATTTACCTTCATTATAGTATTGTTAGTTCCATTCTGCAGAGAATCGCGCACAATCCCAAAAAATTCTATAGGCAGCATCCATCAACCATGCCACAGACCATAAATCCAATCTACATCATTTGATAATTTATTTAAATAGGGACGCAATTAGCACGGCACTATCTGCCCTGTATGCCAAATTAATTGTCGTCCTCGGCATCGCACTGCCCGTCACGGATATTCTCAGTGTACGTGGACCCGCCTCGTTCTACCAGGGCTTCTACCTCTATCTGTATCTGGTCAGTGTGGCATTTGTGGCCTACATGTACGTCGCACACGTGAGATCACGGACACTCTTCACCCTCCTCAATTCGTATCGTATGTTTAGACAGAAAATCATTTTCTCACGATTTGTTTGCTGAACAGCGCGATTTTCTTCACCATTGCAGACGAGAAGACTGGAGAAAGTATCAATAGGTTAGCGTTTAAGCAGGAAAAAATCGTGCGATACGGAAGCTTTTATCTACGAGTTGGAGCTGTGGCGTTTGGCATTGGAAGTATGGTTTACTCAGGCCTGGAATTTGGGCAATACTTTGAACTCAAAGGTGACAATAATCACATCAATTCATCGTGATAATAACACTGCATTTTATCTTCCAGGAGAGTCCAAGTGCCAGAATGTCTTAGTCGCCCTAACACCGGCCACCAGAATGATTCTCTCAATCGTCCAGATGCAGTTTATCTTCCTGAATACGAAAGAGTTCGAAATGGGGCGCCACAAAGTGATTGCTCGTTTTGGCTTAATGCACATGGTGGCCACAAATCTCTGTGAGTGGCTGTACGTGCTCATTGAGGAGACGAAGCACGAAATCGTCCACATTGTCCATCAACACCTCGACCACGCGCCCGTTGAGGACGTTTTCCCGGGAAATGTCACGATGCCTCATCACCTGATGAAGCGTGCCACCTCATGGGAGATCGTGGTGGAGTGCCGACGAACCAACATCATGGGCAGCCTGGTGCAAAACGCGTCGCCCTTCCTCTTCCCCTGCACCATCGAGTACTCCCTCATCTGCGCCGTGATTCTATTTGAGATGTGGAAGAAAATCAAATCCCAGTCGGACATCAATCGCAGTCGACGCAACTCTCGAAAGCCCCAAACCCCCGAGATGGCACATCACTTCTCCGTGGACTGCGCGCGAGCACATCGCGGCATGTTCGGCGGCATTCTAATCATCGTCCTCACCATCATCAGCCTGATAATGTACTTTGTGCTGACGGAGCAGCAACACCCGTACAAAGCCATGGCCATCCTCGAAGTCACCATCTCAGAGATTATCCTCTATGTCGTCACTGGAGCGGCTGTGGTCTTTGCCTTTCTCAGAATGCGAGACCTCAAGTACTCGAAGAAGCAGGAAAACAGTGGCATTGGACTGGACTGTACTCTCCTGCTCTTGGCCCAGAGTGGAGTCTACATCTACAGCATCTTCAGCATTATCGGCAATAACTTTGCCATCGCCGATAAACGAGAGGACGGAGCCATTGAAGCACTCATAGCTGAGGTCATTTGCCTGGCTGAGACAAGCCTGCAAACGATCTTTATTCTCAATGCGTGGTGGAGGCGCTGCAAAGGTGCTCAGCAGAATCGCACGAAGCCCGGCAGGGAGATTGTCACGTTCCTTCTGGTGGCCAACATGGCCATGTGGTTCCTCAACACACTCGTCAAGAATCGCGCCTCCTTCCGGCCTTCTCACCTCAGCTTCTTCGGCGTCTGGGCCTGGACTATCATCACGCACGTGTCCATGCCTCTGGCCATCTTCTATCGCTTCCACTCCACGATATGCTTGTTCGAGATTTGGAAGACGACGTTCAAGATCAAGTACGATCATAATAATTAACGTTTACACACTAAAGTTAATATGATTTTGTATCAAAAGTTGAGGCCTGTCTGGAGGCCCTTTACTCAGGAGTTTAATTTCACTAAACCTCCAATCTGTAGATAGTTTAAGATCGAGTCTTGTGCTGGTAAACAAGTAGGTAAATGATTGAATAAACTGCGCAGAGATTATATTGCACAATTAATTGACATTTTACGGGTGAGCATTAAGTTATGCCTCAATATAAATATACAATTTGAAAAGTCATTCGAAAAAATCATGGTCTCTTTATCATTGTCACGACATTTTTGTCCAGGCGACTTATGATAGTGTCTCGTCACAAGAGCAACACGTTTCGATTCTAATTTTATTACTCAACTTCAGCTCTGATGTTGTGTGCACATAAATCATCAATTGAGTGCCTTTCCTATCGGTCGTCTGATAAACCCATCGTTTCTTCTCCACTGTGAATTTCAACGCCATCAAAAGACCACAGGTAATTCACACCCCAATCTTTGTCCAAGGAATACAATTGCTACAAATTCACGAAATAGATTGATTGTAATAATGCATCGGTTTTTAATTACACCTCCATCCGATGGCATAAAGAAAAAACAACACTCTGACATCCAACAGATTCCGAGAGACGATAATTATTGAACTCATTAGTGACCAATTACTGTAACTCCTATAATCTCCACACATCGTCACAATTGGGAGTCACATATCACAAAATAAGCTCCGCCACGATCGAATTGGAAGGAAAAAATCTTCCGTCACCGATTGAGAGGCAATTCATCAAGGTATCACCCATGAAAATATCATAAATCATTCGGCAAACATGTTGTCCCGTGAATTGTTGCTGCACGTGAAATTCAGACATACTCTGGCTTCAAATTTCGGAGGTGCTGACGGCAGAATTACACGCGGGCTTTGGTGTGCGCTCGAGGCAAAAGACCTTTTGAAAAATTATCTTTTCAAGTGGTCAAATTACCAATCTTGATAGATTTCAATGAATAATTAGGCTATAAAATGTGATTAAAGACGATATGTCTGAATATTGGATTTTGCAGATGAATACACATGAGTGGAGCTTTCGATGAACTTTGATATATCGCTGGGCAAAGTCCACTGTCAGAATAAAAGTAGAAAGTCTCAAGAACACAGAAACATTCAAACTAGTTTCACCTTTTCACGATCACCGCCGCAGATCAAGCCGCACAATTAATGAGCAATTTGTCAGACAACGTCGTCAAGTCAAATCCATTGACGAGATAAAGTGAGAAACTATGACTTCACGACGTCAAATTAAAATGTGGATGTTGGAATTCCAAATGTGATACTTCTCCATACGCTGGCTTAAATAAGCATTTAACATACTTCCACACACAGTGTGTGACTATTGAACGCAGAGAGGTTGATAGCAATAAATTATCTCAGCTGCAGTTCATATAGTGTGCCATTCGCATACAAATTATCCAACATAATTAAATGCACATTTGCAGCTCATAAATCGACATATTGAGAATTAAGAGAATTATTCTCCCCACCTCGGTGATGAATATACTTTGGCAGTGTGCTCACACTTTTCGCCTCTCTTTTCAGCGTTAGAGGCGCGCAGTGTTATTTTCAAATAAATGTGGCACGCGCCCCGCCATAGGCATTAAATCCATATAAATGAATTGGTAATGAATGGGTTGTGTGGAAAATCCAATTGAGCATTTACTTCTCACTCTCTCCGCTCAATTCTCGTGAAAATCACTCAACTTCAAGTGGCCTCAGCAAGTGCATTCGATACAGTTAAGAGAAAGACAACAATCAGTAGAAATCGCACAACGTGAAGGATTTATCAGCTGAAGGTATTCGCCATAAGGCTTATCGCATTGGACAACAAAGGTGCCCTCTGTTGATGTATCTGAAAGTGAAATAATTATCACGTCTGAGGTGATTATCTCCTCTGCAATGATTCCACTTGAAGGCGTTTTTGGGAAAAATCCATTCAGTCCGAAAAAATGTGACACAAAAAAAATGATTGTGAAAGATATTAAGTCTTCCACCCCATCCGATCGCGCGCACTAATTGCTTAAGTGATCAGGTAATTATACCATTTAGTATGCAATATTTGCTGTCGCCACATGAGAAAACAGAGGTAAATAAGCGAATTTAAAAACACACCACAAATGCGATAATTGTTACTTTAAATACATCAACTTCATTACAAATTGACCTTCTTGTGTTCTTCCACCAACTCTTACAATTCTGTCAGATTCGCGACACTGACTGTCGTCAATTGATTTTCGGGATTGCCAAAAAATCAGTCTCTTATCAACAGATGAGTAATGTGTGACGTTATAATTCCCAGTGGGTTATAAGACTAATCAGAACAAATTGATGTGAATTCTGTAAATTACCATATATTTCTATCTCAGCACGCTATGAATTTTATAAAGCATTACTTTCTGGAAATGCTGAGTCATATCTGTTCATAAAATTACACTAAAGAGATCTCCTTAAATAGGGTCAGTTTCCCTACAAAAATGTAATTCTACAGTAAATTCACCCCAAAATGCGAGAGAAAAGAGTGAATTCCACACGAAAACGATTCTTTTGAACATAGAAACTGATTTACATATTTAGTCAAGTAAGGAGTCGTTGTAACTTTACAGATTGCGTATTTCAATTCGTAAATGTTATGAATTGGCGATGCAACTATTTGCTGCTCAAATTGAGACGTCTAGGAAATTATTTCTACATTGATTTTCCCTAACCTAAATATACATAACGATCTAATCTATCATCAAGTTTTCACGCCATTTTGGTAAGATCACTTCAGAAATTTCGCGTCCATCAGTGTGAGACATGTATTGAGACTTTCAATTGCATGTAGTCTATCTGACATCATGTCTCGATGTTGTAAATTTACTTTGGACACTATCATAATCTTGTCACCTCATCTCATCGTATCTATAGTCGTCCAACTGACTGTGTCTGGGTTATCAGGCGTGAAAAGGTGAGTTTGAGAGAATGGGAATGAGAGTGAGTGAGAAAAGCGTTGCAGGGAAAAAAGGTGAGAAAATTTACATGAACCACAAATATACACCTATTGCTGTGTATAGCGTGTAAGTACAACTTCTCTTTGTACCCCAATGTTGAAAAAGGTAATTCGCTGTCGCACTATATCTCTCAGTCGTGCGCTTTCTGGCCTCTCAGAGAGCACCCAAGTCTAGGGATTTCTGGGTGAGACTTTTAGCGATTCATTGATACAACTTCTCAAGTGTGTTCATAATTCTACTCTCAATTGCAAATCCATATCTCTCACACAGTTCTAATCTGCTATCTTCTCCCTCTCGCAGTTCTCTCTGTCCCCTTCAGCTACGCTGCCGGAGTGATCTTCGAAATTCACCTGCTAGGCCTCCACGCTGAGAGATAAAAATAAAACCTACAACTTTGAGCAGCAATCAGTGCTCCAATATACGCAAATTTCTACTCTAATCAGCAACAACACGAGCATCAATTATGAGGTATCAGCACAATAGGATGACTGTGACTTTTCGGTAAGTAGGGAAGAATCGCTAGTTTTTTTTCTCTCCGACTCCCGCAGATTTTTTAGCACCTTTCATACCGGTACAAATTGGTTGGAATGAAGTCCAACAACGTGAGAGAACAATTATTTACCTTCGTCATGCTAAAAGCTCCATCACACACACACACGGTCGTCGTTTTCTCATCTCTTCATCGCGCCTAAACTTTGATCACTCGAGATCTGCATCATTCGTTGGCTGAATGAGTGAGAGATTTACAGACGTTTAGAGTAGAGTGGCGAGTAAACAGGTGATAAAAGCTCCTCCTCACTCTCGCCGAGGCGATTAACATTGCACAATCAGTATCGCGCTGAGCCGCAAATCAATTGCACTTAATCTCGCAACTTTTCCCTCCTTCAGAAGTGATAAAGCCCTGTCTTTTTTTTGGTTTGCGCCTCAAAGTGTTGTTGAAAAAAAGCGGTGAGTGCTGGATTATTAATTACCCCCCAATTAATTATTATATTGTTCTTGTGACGCTTCGACTGTGATAATTGATGCTAAAAATAAGTTCACGTGACAATGTCAATACCACAATAAAAAAGCCCATATCGTGATGATTTTTCAGTGACATCAGAGTGAAAGAAAAACAGTGAATTCGATTCCTCACCTTCAGCGGTTTGAATTTTGCACATTGCCCCACTTTCATCCTTGCTTATCGCGTGTGTGCAATTTTCGGCAATATTGATCTACTTATCAATCAAGAGTACGTGTATTGGTGATTGAAAACCACTATCGCACATTTGAGGCTCAATTCATCAAATTCACCGTTTCTCTCGCATTTTCATGCCTGCGATGCAATCTGCTTTAAAAGGCGAATCACTCAGCGATGGTAAACAATTGCTATTGTACCTGATTTTCCGATCAATTTGCGCAAAAGTCTCCATCAAATTTATACACACCGCGTGCCTCTAATGAGCGTCTGTAAATTCATTACCTGCTTTAGGAGTGCACATCATAAAGATAGCCCCAATCTATTGATTTACCCTATGATCATGTGCTTTTTCTACATATTCTGCAAAAGCAGTCATTGAGAAATTCTTCTATGCGACAACGATAAATATCAACGAGTTCTCGCACTTCACTGTGTGTGTCTTCACATGTGAAATAATAACAATGATTACTGCAAATGTTTACAGTTTACATAACAAAAGTCTCTCGCTATTTAATTGACATGACGTCGCAATGAAGATTATCGTGTAATATTGCTACCGGGAAGCTTTGCAGCATTGAAACTGTAATTTTAAAAAGGTTCACAAAGAAAATCAATTCATCTTTACATTTTCATAAAAATTTCCAATTTTCAAGCGTTTTTTTCAGTCGAATGTCAAATTGATTTCATTCAGATCAAGAAAAGAAAAACAGAAGTACAGCACTTTATTTAGCGTATTTACATATTTTTGTGCCATTCGAAAAGTATATCTTTTTCTTAGTGTAAAGTTTCCCCTCCAGAATTTACAATATTCTAGGGAACAACCAATTGCACCTCACCGATAACGAATCGGACGCAGTATATTGCATTGAGAAGCAAATAGAACACTGAGATAAAATGTGATTTTCGCTCCTCCTTCTCGACCAAAACACACCACAAACGCTCCTCAAGTCAAAAACCCTACTGCAAGAAGTACAAATAGAGCAAATAAATATTTGCCAAATGACGCAAAAAAGTATACTTCACGCAGATTTTATGCTGTTCTTATGACTCAAAATGCCTAGAGTGATCATAAAACTTATTTACCATAATTACGCATGCAAAGAGAATGTTTTTCTCGAAAAAAAAACGCCACATCTTATCAATAGATGTGAATGCGAATATACGCAGGATTGGGAGTATTGGCCCAAGCTCATCGAGCAGCCATTCACAAAAGTCCCAATCATCAATCCAAATAAGAACCCTAAAGAAATAAATTCATTAATTGTTAATTAATCCCGGTGAATTTCCTTAACGATGGCAGTTTAATTCCACCCACAAAAATGATTCTTTTTCGCTCTCTTCGCAAAAACCCCACTCACTCATTCCTCTCGGCCCAATGCCAATACATTATCACCGAATATGTCATATGGGAGCGCAATTCATTAATCAAGACGGACCATGCGAAGGAGCAGAGCAGCCAGTGCGGCTGTATTGAGGAGAAAGAGAGGAAAAATTGCGAAATAATAAGTCGATTGGCATCTTATCAAAATCCCTGGAGAGAGAGAGAATGTTGGTATTCACACGAATATAGAGGGCTCAAAGATAAGACGCCGGACTGCGGCAAAAAGCGGGGAAAAGTCTCTGGGCTCAGTAAGGCTGAGCATTTGTGAGTGTCGGTCGATTCCGTATAAAAGGTATGTGCACATCCCCCGCAACTTCTTAGTTCCATCCGGACACGGACATTCTCAGGTGGCGCGCGAATTTTCCCCAATTCACAACTGCCACTTAATCACTTCACGTGCGTCTGATAAACCCCAACTCTTTATTTCTTGCTCTCCCCGCCAATTACTTAGTGCCTCTGTGTTTCTCCTCGCGCAACTTCCTCTTGGCTCTTTTGTCTCACTACCCAATCGGTTCACGTTTTCTCGCGCGCTGAATAAATAAGACAGATCGCGAGAAACGATCAACAATTGTGTGCTAATTGTCTCTAAATATGATTGGCGCTCAAATGTGATAAAAGAGGAACTACAGTAGCAATTCCCTCATACGGCAGTCCTGCAATTCAATAACGCAATACGCTGAACAAATCACTCACAATCAATATCATGTGCGAAGCGGACAGACTTATCGTCCATCAAAATGTCGACAGAGGGTAAAGGAAAAGCTCATCATTTTCAAGAAACTCCGTCACACCTTCAGTGCTCGTCTGAGTGTCGTGCAGAATTTCAGTGATTTTAGTGCTCATAGAGTTTTTCTTTGTGATCTCCAGTGACACTTCGGAGGAGAACGATCAGCGATCGCCGGTCCAGTCGCAAGAAGCCATGACTGCCCTCGTGCCATCAGGATCCGCCTTGGCACTCAACAATCCGCACCAGGAGCTTTCGCTCTCCCGCCGGCCGTCGGTGCTGCTACAGGAGATCCTCTCCACCAGACGACCGTCGGCAATCATGGCCGCCCTCACGCGACCGCAGCGACAGCGCCTGAACCAGATGGACGCCCTGCACGAGAATCCCGACATGCGGAGCGGCAGCCTGCGCACCCTCAACGGCTTCCTGCCCACACATCACGCCTCCGGCGGTGCCCACTCGGAGCAGGCCCAGGAGTATAAGAGGAAGAACCGCCGGATCGGAGAGTGAGTCGCCCTCTTATCGCTTCCGTTCCCTAACTCACCCTTCCTCCTCCTCCCTCCAACAGTGACGCTCTGAGCACAGCTCTCTCGGCTCTCTATTGCAAACTACTTGTGGTGATGGGCATCGCGATGCCAGTGACAGAAATCCTGTCGTCCAGGATTCCAGCCAATTTCTACCAGGGATTCTACGTCTATCTCTACGCCGTCAGCATTGCCTTCGTGATCTTCATCTACGCGACTCACCTGCGAACGAGAGCCGTGTTTTCTCTCCTGAAAGACTACCGTGAGTATTCCAGATGAAAGTGATAAAAAGCAGTTTCAATTTACTGATTAAAGCAAAATAAGACATTTCTCGACCTGTTACAAAGTGAAATACTTGAACATAAATTAGTTGAACATTCTTTGGCTTTCGTAGTGGAAGAAATGTTAGTCGTGAATGGGTTAAAAACAAGGAGGAGATAATATGTTCTAAATCAGCACACCATCTCCAGACACTTCCACATATTCTTTGCACAATCTTGGTTTTATTGGCTTTTAGAAAAGCAATAAAATTGATTTTCCTAAACAAGATAATTCAGAAAATGACTAAATTTGTGGAAATAGAAGCTTTTACAATGCAAATATTCGCAAAATATTTTTCTACTTCCAATTTTTAACACTTCCGTAAAAGCTGTACACCACTTCCCACCATAATATCTGCCCCTTGGTTAAAAGCCAATGAGTAAGTAGAGAAAAAAATCATTAGAATATCACAAGTACAAATCTGAGAGGAAATCGATAAATTCTTGTGCATATAAAATCAATTGCATTTCCTCTTTAGTTGCAATTTCACACAGAGATCGCGTGCTTGCAATATTGCATATTGCGAGTGTGAAAAGTCAAACTGTGCATACCTGGAATTCCCATTGAGAAGATTATCGTGCAATGTTCTGTTTTCCATTCACAGATGAGAAAGCCAACAATACGCAGCACATCAAGAAGCGCGCCGCACACTTTGGGAGCTTCTACTTGCGCGTCGGCGCCATTGCGTTCGCCATTGGCACGATGGTGTATTCTGGCCTGGAGTTTGGCCAGTACTTCGAGCTGAACGGGAATCCTGGATGCTCCAACATCTACATGGCGCTGACGCCAGTAGCCAGAATGCTGCTGTGCATCATCCAGATGAAGTTCATCTTCCTCAACACGACGGAGCTGGACATGGCGAGGCACAAAGTCGTGGCCAGATTCGGGCTCATGCACATGGTGGCCACGAATCTCTGCGAGTGGCTCTACGTGCTCGTGGAGGAGACCAAGCATGAGATCTTCCACCTCTCCCACACTTCCCACGGAGGCTTGGGCAGTGCAGCAGCTGCCATTCTGTCCACCACGGCCAATCCTCTCGCCTCCACGGACGCAGAGAACGCCACCGCCTCTGTCATGCACAACATCACGAAGAGATCAGTTGCCAGTGAAAATCTGACAGATGGATGTCACAGGACAAATATCATGGGCAGCCTGGTGCAGAACGCGTCGCCCTTCCTCTTCCCCTGCACCATCGAGTACTCCCTCATCTGTGCCGTGATCCTGTACGAGATGTGGAAACAGGTGAAGACCATTCCCAACATCGAGAAGACCAGGCGAAACTCCCAGAAGCCACACACGAAGAGCGCTCACCACTTCTCCGTGGACTGCGCGAGGGCGCATCGCGGCATGTTCGCCGGGATCCTAGTCATTGTCCTCACCATCATCTGTCTCATCATGTTCTTCGTGCTGCACGACGTTGAGGGATATGAAATGCTAGCCATCCAAGAGGTCACAATCTGTGAGATATTGATGTACGCCGTCACGACGATGGCCGTCCTTGCGGCGATGTATAAAATGAGGGACTTGCGATACCAGCAGAAGATAAAAGGTCCGTAAACTCCCCACAAAATACCTATTTCGATGTTAATTGAAATCTTACCTTCTAGACAATCATCACGCCAGCACCGTGAGCCTGGATTGCACTCTCCTCGTTCTGGCGCAGAGCGGAGTGTACGTATATGCCATGTTCAGCATCATGGGCTGCTACTTCGCCATGGAAACAGGTGTTCCGGGCAGTCAGGAAGGTTTCGTGGCGGAAATCTGTTCGCTCCTGCAAACCTCCATGCAGACGCTCTTCGTGCTGAATGCCAGCTGGCGTCGCTGTCGCGGTGCGCAGCAGAATCGCACGAAGCCTGGCAGAGAGATTGTCACGTTCCTCCTGGTGGCCAACATGTCCATGTGGTTCATCAACACGCTTATAAAGGGACACGCGGGCTTCCGCCCAACTCACTTGCACTTCTTCGGCGTCTGGGCCTGGACAGTCATCACGCACGTATCCATGCCTCTGGCCATCTTCTATCGCTTCCACTCCACGATATGCTTGTTCGAGATTTGGAAGTCCGCGTACAAAGTCAAGAATGACCATTGATATGTTTTTCTATCGTAATAAATTAATTTATTGACTACAAACGACCATTTTTTCACAAATGCTGAACTCATCAATCAATGACGATGATGATTTTTGAAAATGAACGGCAAACACACTTTCCGAGTGATGCGCCACCTGTATTGAAATTCGCTGTGGAAAGTGTAGAACAGTGTTGTGACATTTTGGCAAGATTTTTTAGTAGTCCTGTAAAATATCAGAGTTTTCGTCTGTTTCCCCTGCAAAATCCGATAATTTTCTACTTAGACAGAATGGAGGTTGATGAAGATGAGTTCGAGCAGCCCACGTCCAGCAGTAATAAGGGCGAGAAGAAGAGATTTGAGGTGAAAAAGGTGAGTGGCCAGTGAATTGGCAAAAATTGCAAAGCTCCTTTGTTTCTCAGCTATTTTGGGCAATTTTCTTATCAAAATGCACTTTTCCCGTCTCTCTTTAGTGGAATGCCGTGGCATTGTGGGCGTGGGGTAAGTAAAATCATAGTTTTATCCTTTGAAATTGCTGTGGAGTGGACATAACCTCAACTGTGTCTCCCTTCCGGACAGACATCGTTGTGGACAACTGCGCTATTTGCCGGAATCACATCATGGATCTCTGCATTGAGTGTCAGGCCAATCAGGCCTCCGCCACCAGCGAAGAGTGCACAGTGGCCTGGGGAGTGTGTAATGTGAGTAGACAGAAGAATTTCTCCCGATCCCAAAACTCAATTTTCCGTGTTTTGCAGCACGCTTTTCACTTCCACTGCATCTCGCGCTGGCTGAAGACGCGCCAGGTCTGCCCGCTGGACAACCGAGAGTGGGAATTCCAGAAGTACGGCCACTAAACAGCCCCACATGCGATTATTTCTCAATAAAGCACATTAATTTGCCGCGTGAAACTGCATTTTGGCAAGTATGAAAGAATCCGCTCTCGAGGAAATTGAAGACAAAACGGTGGATTTGCCTTGGATGAATCTTTATATGGAAAGAAAATCTTTGTCTCTTAATCTCTGTCTCTCTTTCTCATTATTGAATTCCTAAAATTGCAGTAATTATACATTATTTTTTATCACAAATCATTTGTTTGCAAAGTTGTTTTTTAAAATTCTTGTAGCTCATCGCGCAATTTCCTGACTTTCCCTCCTGTCTTATCATCAAATTCACACATGCTTTACATTAGCTTCTTCTCTCTACTTTAGGGAAAATGTGACTTATCGGAAAGGAAAATTCAATGCAAAATTCCGCGCTTTTCTTTCTCTGTGTGTTTGTGTGAAAAATTAAACTAAGTTATTACAAAAAAAAGTGAACTTTTAGAGATAATATTTTTCTTAACATGATAAAAACTTACGAAGAACAGAGAATAAAATCGGGTGGTAATTTTTTTTCTATATACTTTTACAAAAACTTATCATCTAAAATTCAACTACTGATGATTTTATGCCGAAAACAAAATAAAAAATGGGAGACGATAAACAATTTGACAATTTTTTCTTTATCATTTTTTTACCTACAGTGAATAAATCTTAACCACTTTCACACTTAAAACTCTCGCTCGCTGTTTATAATATAAAATTAGGGATGAAGATTTCTACAATTACGTGAAAATTAGCCTTCTCTCCTCTAAATTGTTGTTTCTCCTCGTCTTCTCCACTATCTTCACAATTAATATTCACGACAATGTATTGGCAGTACAGTAATTTTCATCATTTTTCGCAAGTTTTTAAATATTCAATATTCCTCTCCATAATTAGAATTATCTAATATTACCATTATTACAGCTAATCATGGATTATTTCTGAATTACTCTTTCGCTCAACTCCTTCTCTATTATGTGTTCTTTATGCTCTCAGAGCGCCCGCAATGGGGGCGCGCGCCTCTTTGTCCGGGAAGCCCTTCCGTGCGGCCCTCGGCATTGCTCCAGCAACGCCACAGCGAATAATCTCTAGATTTCACGAAGCCTGCGAGTTCAAACTGTTGGGAAAATGTTGCTGCGTCAACTCATTCTTGACTTAATAATTTAATCTCATAAATACTGGAGTATAAACAGACTTTAAAGGGTTACACACCTGAGATCTGCGCACGTGAGGCATTTCTCGGCAGTGTCGCCGCCGAAAATTTTGCAATTAGCTAATAATATTGGGGAATTATTGAGAAATTAGGAACTTTTTCTCTACAATTTTTTTTTTAATTTACAGATTTTCTTATCTTGAGTTTTTATTAGTAAAAGAGCTTCAAAATTCTATGAATTTTCGCAAATTCACTGCTTCGAAAAACTACGCCCGCAGATCTCTATTATACACACTTAATTTCGATACACTTAACTTTAGTTTCCCGGAAGATGATTTAACTATCCTCAATATTGAGGAGGATTTGTGATTAATACGATGTACAATTTTTCTCCACAAACCTCAAGTGTATAATCGTTATAACCCTTGAAAAATTTTTTCTTTACACATTCTTTCGCTTTCCAAATGATAAATAAAAATTAACTATCTTCTCTCCTTCTTTTTACCCACTCAATAACGAATCATTATTTCGTCCTGAACAAAAAAAAGCCCTAAATGCATTTAGGACACTTCAGCGTGTCCTAATAATCGTCTCGTCGTCAGAGAGAACCTTCCAACAGTTTGACTCACTGGCGCGGGGGCGCCTTGGGGCGGCGCGCCCCGAGCATCCGCCGCTGTCAGTTGACCACCGTGGCGATGGGCGACGTGGGCTCGGCGAGCGGCGGCGCGTCCACGGGTGGCGGAATGTTGATGGTGTGAGATTCATTGCCGAAGATCAGCCGCAGCCGCTTCATGGGCGGTGACGTCGTGGGCGCCGCCGGCGACTGGCCACGCGGGCAGGTGTGATGGTGGCGTCGGTGCTTGTCGCGCCGCCGCTTCGTTTTGTGCCGCTTCTTGCGCTTCTGCGGCGGCGACGTGTCCGTGAAGTCGCTGTGCGTCTCGCCTGTGGTTTCGCCCTCCTCGTCGCCCTCCTCATCGTCGTCCATCAGTCCTTCCACGCGCAGCACTTCGTACTCGGGCGCCACGAACGCCCCATTGGGGCTCTCCTCGCTCAAGCTAGTGCCCGACTCGATCACCTCGTCGAGAATGGGGCTCCGCTTCATGCGCAGCGTCAGCTTGAGGCGTCTCTCGGGCGTCTTCAGCACGGTGGGCGTCTCGCCACCGCCGCGGGGCGCCTTGTTCTCCAGCGATGACGTGCTGTCCGTCTCGCTCACGCTCTTGGACACTTTCCTCTTGCGCAGTATCACATTGGTGTCCTCCTCGTCTTCCTCCTCGAGGAGACTGATCACAGTGTCCTTCTCCGGGCGCCCGCGACGCTTCGGCGCCAAGCCCTCGAAGTGCCCCGACAGATTGAGGCGACACGCCGGATGCGCCTTCCCGCGGCGCTCCTCTTCGTCCACCGAGCCGCCGCTGCCGTCGTCCGCGTGCGCGGCCGCATTCCTGGTGTTGTACTTGCTCTTCACCGGCAGCCGCACAGTCTCCTGCAGGCGCGTGCTCTTGCGCGTGTGCTGCCCGTTCTGGCGCGTGTTGTGCCCATTCGCCGCCACCTCTTCGTGCTGCTGCAGCACGCCCGGATGCTGCGCCATGATCATCTCCGCGTCGTACTTCGTCATGCCCTTCTGCCGCAGCTCACTCAGCGTCAGCGGCGTCACGATCTTCCCGTTTGCCGGCGCCTCCTTGTCCGCCGCGGCACCGCCGTTGGGTGTGTTCTTGCTCTTGATCCTATTGATACGGTTGTCAGTCTCACGCAGGCGATAGCCACTCGCCGGCGACACCTCCTCGGCGGTGGTCTTCTCTTTGGCAAACGCCCCCATGCTGCGCCTCTCGCACGTCTCGCACTCGCAATAGCCGTTGTTGTCGCCAAAGAAGTCCTCGCCGTAGAAGCACGTGATCTCCTCGCCCACCTCAATGTCCCGCAACACCTTCACGCACGCCGTGTCCCTGCCCGTGGCCACGAACTTGCAATTCGCCCGGCAATCGTGATTGATGTACGCCGCCGGGCCGAGCCACAGCTGGGCGCAGTTCTTTCGGCAGCTGTACATCACGCTGAAGTCATTCTTGCCAGGATGCAGAAGCATCGCCTCCTCGGCCTCCGTCAGCTCCGCAATACACCCCACGAGGTACTCGATCTTCTCATTCTTGTACCACTTGCGCGTCGACGAGATCTTGGCGCCCTTCTGCCCCTCCAGCGAGTAGCGGTAGCAGGGCTCTATCGTGAAGCCGGACTCCTTGGCGAACACACGGAGGTAGCGATAAATCTGCAAGTGCAAATTGAGTCAACAATGGCGAAATCAATTGCCAGCAATTCGAGAAACTATACAAATTGCACAACAAGTGAAACTCATGTCGAGCAACAGCAACTACTCACATGCTCCTGAAGTCTCTTCTGGGCCAATTTGCTTTTGTTGTGCACATGACGCGGAATCCACTCGCCCTTGATGATTCTCCCGTAGGCTTTCTCGTAGTTCTTCGTCTCGATAAAGTCCGCCACGATGCGCTTCAGCTCATCACGATTGGCCTTCAGTGGACGGTACTTGATGTTCATCTTGTGTGTGACGAAGCCGAGGAAGGGGTCCAAGACCAGGGATGTCGCCAAATCATCATTCTCCGACAACTCCTTCGGCGTCATTCCCGTTGGCTGCATTTTCAGATGACCTGATTGACGGTGTGCCGACTCAACAACCATTCTCGTGTAGCCAAGTCGCCTCTTCGCTATCACACACCAACGGCCTGCAAAGAGGGACACTCAATCAAACATCTGGGCATCTTCCGATCTTCCTTTGGCGGGAATCTTCAGAATATCCGTGACGTCACAATCCCCCTCGACCGCCAGCGGCGCCATCTGCGAGAAATATGCGCCGACAATTGTGACAGCATTGATGGATTTTCAGCAATTTTTCAACTTTTTCGCATTTCCCGAGGAAATATTGCCCCCCGTGAACGATATTGAATGACCCCAAGAAATTTTCAGTCGATAAAGAGCAATTTCTGCGGCACATTCAGCAAAAAAATCAATTCGTGCATACTTTCAAGACAAGAGACAATAGAGGAAAAAATGCTAAATATCCACTTTTCGCCTTATTTATCACTGAATTTCCCTGAAAAACCACCCCAAAGTGGCCTAAGTTACCCATTTAATGGGTTTATTGATGTAGCAAGGGTGGTAATTGATGGGTTCGCGGGGCGAATAAAGGTGCGTCTTGGGGCCCAATTGCTGGGCAAAGAGAAAGAGAGAAAAATCAATGGCGGATGGCCATTTTGCGTTGCTGCTCTACCACGTCCGCGAAAAAGCTGAAAACCCCCACAAATACCCCCTTGCACAGCACAGTCCCGTCAAAATTAGCCCTCTTGGCCACACCGAAACACTCAGGGGTGGATCATGGGGGTCCCCAGGGGGATTTTCAGGTAGATAATGGGCAATAAAGATGTCACTTTTTTCCATTAAAATCTCCGTCTCGTCCCGACACCCAAATTTTCACAACACTTTTTCCAGCACAAAACCACTCTTCAGCCACAGTTTCACGCTGGGTGGTGAAAGAGAATTTTCTGCACTATCGATTAATTACCTTTAATTTAGTTACTGACATTACTATGAGGGTGAAAAACGCGTGGAAAAAGAAATACTTTGTGATTTATGTGGCGAGTCGCAGTCTCCGCCATATACAATGCTGAAAATTGCCTTTGAACACCTTCAGGGTGGGAAACCCCCCAAATGTCTTCAGGAGAATTTTTCTTGCGTCCAATTTTTTGGGGAAAAGGGAGCCTCTGGGGGCATTGTGGGTGGCTTTTCCTTCTTCAGGGTGTGTATTTCATTAGCATTGAGAAGTGCAATTATGCGAATTTCTCATACTATCAAATGCTGTGAGTTTTGTGAGGTTAGATCAGCCATGATGGAGTACTAAAAAATAAGCACTAAAAAGGGTCGCGTCAGAACTTGTCAGCCAGTCGTCTTTCGTCTGCTGAAGAGTAAAAATAGCAAGTTTGCACCAAAGGTTTTCTTCTCTGAAAATCGCATTTTCAGTCTTCTATCTACCACATTCTCGAGTTGCTGTACTGTGCTAAGGCTTCAAGTACATTAGACAAGTAAAGTAAAGGTAAGAAGGCGAGTAAATTGAGGTGAAAAGACGCATTGTAATGGAGGCTTTGTTTGATTGTCAGGACCGTCAGGGAAAAAGACAAAATGCCCATGATTAAGCTTCAGTCCTCGGACGGCGAGGTGTTCGACACGGATGTGCAGATCGCCAAATGCAGCGGCACCATCAAGACGATGCTCGATGACTTGGGCATGGACGAGGGCGAGGACGAGATGGTACCGCTGCCGAACGTGAACTCCGCCATTCTGAAGAAGGTGCTCCAGTGGGCGACGTACCACAAGGACGACCCGCAGCCTGCCGAGGATGACGAGAACAAGGAGAAGCGCACCGACGACATCTCATCGTGGGACGCGGACTTCCTCAAAGTCGACCAGGGCACACTGTTCGAGCTCATCCTGGCGGCCAACTACTTGGACATTAAGGGCCTCCTGGACGTGACGTGCAAGACTGTGGCCAACATGATCAAGGGCAAGACGCCCGAGGAGATCCGCAAGACCTTCAACATCAAGAACGACTTCACGCCCGCCGAGGAAGAGCAGGTCCGCAAGGAGAACGAGTGGTGCGAGGAGAAGTAACCCACTCACACTCATATTCCTCCACTTTCTTTCTCTCATTTTTTTCACTCTCTGAAGCCTTGGTTAACAATAAAATGTGAACTTATTCCTCAAGACGCTCATTTTTTAATAATACTTCCCATTGTAAGGATTGCACAGCGTGTTCTTCATGTGGATTTCCAGGAAGACTCCGCAGGCAATGACAAAGCTTAAGCAGGCGAACAGCAGAAACTTCTTGCCGAACAAGCGTCGGTTGCCTTCCAGAAATAATCGTTCTTCGTAAATTGTCTCGTTCAGCCGACTAATGAGCTTCACCACGCGGCAATTGGGGCCCTTCACGCGTCTCCGGAGCTCGGCTATCATCTTCTGAATCCCGTCCAGTGGCATTTTCCGTCTTTTTCGCGGTGACTTGCGATTGCCGAAAACAGTAACACAACGCTTGCCGCGATTTCAATGAGCAATTCTCAGAAGTCTTTAAAATCTAGTTTTTTTTTCAAAATGGCCAGGAAAATTTTTATCCCTTCTACCTGGCGTTTGAATTTACTTAAATGTCCTCTAGAGTCATTAAAGAACACAAATGGCTAAAATGCAACGGCATGAACGGCACATTCGTTTTGAAATCTTGTCTGAAATGAAACGGCAATCTGAATTGTTTCTACGATTTCTATCTCATCGGCGATTTAATGTTGGTTTGTCCCACTCTCTCCATCTGCTGCACTTTTTCGCATGAAAAAACAAGGAAAGCGCTAATAAAAGTAATAAACGATAAATTTATTTTCTCCAAGAACACCTCTAAATCTCCCTGAAGTCCAGCTTCACGTTGATGTTCACAGAGCAGAGTTGCGTGACTAAGAACTTGAAGATGTAGGGAATCTGAATGTGGCCTATTTGCGTGCCGTCGCCGCATAGGAGGCACGTTGCGGGGGCGCTCTGTAGATCACCAGCGCCGTCGCGACTCACCACCTTCATGATGGGGCCCAGCAGACTGCCGCATCGCCGGCATACGATCACCGACACCTTGTCAGAGTTGTGGAAGAGGCGATCGTGCAGCAGGAAGGACGCGCCGTGGGCGATCAGACTATCGCGCTCCATTTCGCCGAAGCGCACGCCGCCGCCCTTCTTCCGGCCCTTCACCGGCTGGTGCGTGAGCAGATCCACGGGGCCCGTGGAGCGCACTTGCCACTTGTCCGACACCATGTGCCGCAGGCGCTGGTAGTGCACCACGCCGAAGAAGATGTCCGCTCGCAGCTCTCGTCCATCCGTGCCGCTGTACATGCGTTCCGTGCCGTAGTAATTGTAGCCACCGGCCTCCAACAGCCGCCCGAAGTAGTCGATCGCCGTGTCACTCTCCGTGAATTTGAACGGCGTGGCGTCGTGCACGAGCGCGTGCAGAGCTGCACTCTTTCCCGCCATCATCTCGATCATCATGGCGATGGTCATGCGTGACGGGAAGCCGTGCGGATTGAAGACAATGTCAGGAATGAGGCCACTCTCTGTGAAGGGCAGATCCACGTCCGGCCACTTCTGCGAGCAGATGCCCTTCTGTCCTGCCCGACTGGCGAACTTGTCGCCCACCGACGGATTCCGCTGCACGCGCACCGTGATGACAGCCTGCTTGGACGCACTGGCCGTGAAGCCGCCGCACAACCGCACGCTGTCCACCACACAATCCTCCTTGTCCTTGTACTTGATCACCGAGTACACCGCCCTGTTCGTATCGAAGTAGCAGTAGAAGGGCGACTTGAAGGACAACTTGGTGCCGGGACGTGGGAATCCGTCCGAATCCAGCACATCCACGAGATTTGGCTGATGTGGATCACGCACGAAGAAGAAGTCGGGCTCTTGTAAGTCGATAAATGTGCTCTTCTGAATACTTCCATGCGCCAAGCCGCGCTCAAACGCCGCCTTGTTGATGATCATCGCGTCCTCCATGTCGTAGCCAGTGTAGGAAATTACAGCCACGATGGCGTTTGTGCCCATGGCGAAATCGTCCATCTCGATGTTGTCATGGTGCACCGGCCGGAAGAGGGGCGTCGTGGGCGTTTGCAACCGATAGAGCTTCGTGGCCGCTTGCAGAGCGTAATTCTGGCACGGAGTGCCCATCGTTTGCTTCCCCATCTGACACTGGTACATGTTCCTCGGCGACTGATTGCAGTCTGGCATGGGAATCAGGTGTGCCAAATTGCTCAAGAACGACGTCTTCGAGAGCTCCATGTGAGTCGTAATGCCTGGATAGATTTCCTCAGGACACACAGCAATTTCCATGTAGACTTGCTCAAAAGTACCCACATATTCCACCTGGAAGGACAGAAATTCTCTGAAACCAACCCAAAATCAGCGCTGTGAACTCATCAATTACCTTGTTCACCATGAGATTTACCACTGGACGCATCATCCTAGCGGCGCCCACGAAGAGAAATAGTCCCGGAAACAACCCACCCGTCTTCCTGGGAATGTTGACAATCTCCAGCGTGTTGGGAATCACATCTCCAGCCACTTTGAGCAACCTTAGCTTGTCCACAACCCTCGTCAGTTGATCCTCTGTCACGTAACCCAGCAATCGTCCCTCCAGCACCACGTTCACCATTCCTTTTGCATCCCCAATGAAGACATCTTCGATGCCACTCATGCCGAGTCTGGTGAGTTCCTCCTCAATTTTCTCAATCTCCCTCGCATTCGGCGCTCTTGACACTGTGCAACCGATGGTGAGGTGATTCAGCAGACCACAAGGCGCTCCGTCAGGCGTGTGGACAGGGCAGATGAAGCCCCAGGCGTCCGGAAGGAGCTTCCTCACCTCCGTCGTGCGCATTTCCGTGAAGAAAGCCCCTCTGTGCACAGCCCTGAAGTGCGACATGTAGCGCATCCTGTTGATATTCTCAGCCATAATTACAAGACCAGTGGTCTGCTGAAGCCCCAGATTCCCCGAACTGTTCACCGTACCCGTGGCGAGGAAGTTCTCAAACTGTCGTGTGAAAGTGCCGCAATACTTCATCGCTATTATCATCTCAGATTGCGTCAAGCTGAAGCCAGTCGTGCTGTTGGCCTTCTTCAGAATATTGAATCTCAGAGACACAAGATAACTCTGCAGTCGATCCTTCATCAGCTTCTGCACAAGATGCCCACCCAGGAGGATCTCGTGCATCATCGTGCTGTCCGCGCCTTCGGCAATCACCTTGTCCTGCACGGCTTGAAAGAGCTTCTTGATCATCAGGCAAATCAGGTGGAACTTGTCCTTGTTCTCCTTCAGATGTATCAGCACTGTGCTCTTCAGGAGACTCTGTCCCACTTGCCTGTCCGTCTCCCAGTCCATCGCATACAATCGCTTCCGGAAGACACGGCCCAAGAACTCCAGACACTCCTCGTGAGTGTGAAGTCCCTCATCGTGCAGATCCCTGAGCATCGTCTGCACACACCCACAATAGTACAGATCATCCTCAAATCCCCTCACGCAGCTCTGATAGATGTACAGATCCGTGACCGGGATTAGAGCCTTCATCAGCATCATCACAGGCAAGTAGGACATGTTCTTCCCATGCGACAACATGAATTTCGCCGTCCCGTTAGTGAGGAAGTGCAGCACATTGTTTGTGGACGTGTGATCTGTCATCTCCGACCGGATGATCACACCCACATCGCTGAAGAGCTTCCCTCTCTCCTTCCAAGTGCCTCTCTTCAGTGCTATCGGGTAGTTTTTTCTCGTCTGCAGCAGCATCCGGATGAGCTTCTCATTTCCCTTCACCACAAAATACCCACCCCACTCATTCTCATGCTCGCCCACCTTCACCAGCTGCGCCGGCGTCATCTTGGCCAGGTTGCAGAGATTCGACTGCAACATTATGGGAATCTCTCCGACATCCTTGTCAATTGGTGGCTTCGGGATGCCATTCAGTGACCATCCCAGGCGCAAATTCACCTGACCTCTGTAAGTGCTATTCCTCTGCCGGCACTCCATCGGGTAGATCCTCCGTGTCCGGACATCCGTCATGCTCTGCGGCACCATTGGATTCCCAACGTTGCACTTCTCTATCCTCAGACACACTCTGTCCTTCGTCGGAAGCTCAAATTCCAGCGGCCTCAGGTTACTCACGCATTCCTTGATACCCTCCTCCACCATGTAATTGAAGGACTCCACGTGCGGAGCCCCCAGGATCTTGAGAATCTTCAAAGAACAGCATAACCTCAATTACACCGGGAAGTTTACAGGATTTTCAGCCTTACCTCATTCTGCTTTGACTTGATTTTAGTGAATTCCGCTCGGGAATTCGTTAACAGTGGCTTTGTATTCACTTTTGGAACGCTAGCCATGCTTTTTCACGAGTTTTCCCCTGATAAACACAGCGGCATGCGGAATCACAAGAAATTCACCTCTTCAACTCTTATTCACCACGAACAGCTGCGCTGAAGAGCGGTTGAATGTTCAAAATATTAACCCTTGGCCGACGCGTAATCAGGGAATAATTTAGGAATAATAAAGAAGACAATCAAGTAGAAAAGAAAAAGCAATTTACTTGAGATCTGTACAGAAATTTTGACTTCACGTTCATGAGGAGCTTCAGAGTTTAGTGGAGTCCAATGTTGCTTGCTGCGGGGATCGGTTCCTGAGAAGGGCTTCTGCTTTCGTCTGATTTCTTTTCCATCCTTCGCTTCCTCCTCTCCGTCTTCCTGGGATCTCTAACACTTTTGGATGAATGGATAGACAATCAGTTTCAGGAATCGCTTTCAAGAATGACAAAAATATCTTACAATTTGTGCGCAAAGCCACGATATAGCCAGCCAATAGTTATAAAAATTACTATTACGATAAACAGAATCAAAAGTAATTGCTCTTGAGTCCAAGCCTCGGTCATAAAGCTGCAATCAGAACAGAAAACACTTGAAGGTGTAAAAACTTCTCCTTAATTCTTCAACTTACCCGAAAATTATGTCACTCTTCTTCTTCCCAATGCTAAACATTGCTGAAATTTACCTTCAAAGATCCTTACAGAAATTTGCACCTTCACAGGCTTTCAGTATAAATTTGTTTTTTCCACTTGTGACAAAATCCTATTACTTCTTAGATTTCACAAAGAAATTGTGCGAGAAAATGGAGAATACAACGATGATTTTTTAAAAATTCACCTCGCGAACTTTAGGGCGAATTTCAGCGAATCCAGTGGAATAATAAATATTTGCCTTTTATTGGTACATGGATTTTTGCTGAATTTTCACGGATTATCAGCAAGATTCACAGTGAAAATAGTGGGAAGTGAGAGAATAAAGTGTGCAGCATCATCAGAAATCGAAGGCATTTCAAGCAAATCGTTTTTTTGCACGGATTTTGCAAATATCAGAGGATAACTTTTCAGGTTAGATTGTTTTTCTCTGTGCTTCACAGGGAAAATCAATAAAAAAAGTTCGCACTTTTTCAGCTGAAAGCATTCCGAGAGAAGTAAACAAATCGGACGGAAGAGAGAACTGCGCGACAGGGAGTGCGCAAGCGATTGACAAGTCTGTGTGGGTGGCTTTTACTCTTCCGGAGGCAGTTTTTCGCAACATGGATAGATATAGGCTGATGGAGTCGCATGTGAAGATCACAGAGCAGCTGATCAAGCTGGTGAAGCCACATCCGGAGCTGTACGACATGAATTCCCATCTATACAACGACAGGACGCACATTGATGGCCTCTGGGCATCGATTTCGCACATCATGCAGATGTCCAGTAAGCAAGAGATTCGCCACGAACGGGCGCATGAGTAATGTTGAATGTCTTTGCAGCCACGGAGGTCAGGACAAAGTGGAATTCGCTCAGGAGTCAGTTTATGAGGGCTCTGAAGCACGAAAGGATGCCATATGGCGCTTCTGGACGGCGCAGAAAGAAGTGGTACATGATGGACTCGCTGAACTTCCTCAGGGGTGTTCTCACGCTACCGGACAGTGCTGAGAGTGTAATTGGCGGCGATAAACCCGCTCCAGATGGGATGCTAGTGAAGCGACTGCCCGCCTTTCCGGAGATTCCACTCGTGGTGATGAAGCAGGAATCGCAGAGTGGCGACAGCGAGGCAGAAGTGGAGGAGATGCAATCGCCAGAGAAGAAGAGTCGCATTGGCGACGACAGAGACAGTCCAGTGGCGAGATTTGGCGAGAAATCCTTCCCTGAGGAATCGTACGCCTCAACATGTCTCTTCGACGAACCTCCCGGACACTCTGGTGGCATCTCTCAGGCGGAGAACTACGATCAGCTCTTCTTCCAGAGCCTGGACAAGGATATCAAGAGATTGGCGCCGCACCGGCGACGACGTCTCAAGGAAATCTTCCTGCAGACACTGAACAATCTGCTGGATCAGCAGGAAATGGAGCAGGAGAGGAATTCCGTGGCCAGAGTGTGCCAGAGGGCGCAGAATTGAGAAAGGATTAATTGTAAATTGTGCATGGCTTCCAAAGCCTCGTTTTTTTGTGATTTCCAGGTAAGATCGTGAATAACTTACTTATTTATCAAGAAACAATGACAAAGAGAAGTGTTGAACATTGTGCAAATGTAAAAGATATCGAATAAATGTGAATTTTACTTGAACTACTGTACAATTTCCTTCAGTTTTTCTCATGAGAGAATGAATTCATCATCCGCACTGTCAAACATTTCTGCTTGACACTCTTCTTCAGGAGCTTCCAGCTTGAGAAGCACCATTTCCTCTCCAGGAGTCTCAGAATAATTGCTACAACTAGTGATTGTGTGATTTTGCTTCGATTTGGACAGCGTTTGTGGCCCAAGTTTGATGTCATGAATGCGAAGGTGGTCGAATAGTTCATTCTTTTCCCTGCAAAAGTACTCACAAATCGGACAAAAAAGCCTGTTTTGGCAAAATCTGTTCATATGACTTCTCACATATTCGATACTCATGAATTTCTTATGGCAATCCGGACAAGGATACGAGGCTTCCTTGCGATGAATGCCATGAACGTCTTGCAAATGTTTTGAAAGACTTTTCTTTTCGCCGAATTGCACATTGCAATATTTGCAAGTGAAATTCTTCTTAACTTGCGGAACTCTTTTGACCTTCTTGGCCACCATCTTTCTACACCTAATGCTCTGCCTCTGACTGATTGTGAGTGGCTTCTCCTTACCCATTAAATCTCCAGACCCCAGCAGTTCAGATTTTATGGATTTGGTCATGTGTATCTTGTTCATGTGCTTCAGCAGATTGCTCTTCAGCAAAAATGTCCTCGAACAGAAGGGACAAGCGGATACTTCTTCGTGTGTCGCGACGTGCTCCTGGCGATGTTCATCTGTGATGAACAGAGCCATGCAGGTCCTGACTGAGCAGGCTAAGGGCACAAGAGTCGCGTGTGTGCTCAAGTGAGTGATCAGCGTGGCTTCAGTCCTGCACTGCTGCGAGCACAGTTTGCACTTGCGCGACTCCTTCGAGGCGACCTTTCCATGGCGGTTCAGATGCTTCCGGAACACGTCTCTGCACGTGTAAATCCTTCCGCAATCGTGACAGGCGTACGACTTCCTGTGACGCTTCTGTGCGATATATTTGTCCTCTCCGTGTGTCTCCGCAACGTGTGCGGACTTCTCAGTCTTGCTCACCAGACACAAGCCGCAATAGCCACACACATGATCCAATGCGACGTGCCGCTTCAGCGCCTGTCGCTTCCGGAACACGGCCGGACAGTGTGGGCAGTTGTATCTCACCTTGTTGCTGTGCACTTTGGCCATGTGCGCCCCGAGAAGACCCATATTCCGGTGTGTCGCCCCACATATTTCGCATTCATACAGCTTCTCGAGCCGCCCTTGGTTCAGGCTTGGAATCAGCAGTGAGTTCACTGTCAATGGAATGCTACCATCCTCGTCATTGCAATTGTCCTGAACACTGAGGGAAAGAATTATGATTTTCTGTTTTTCACCATAAAAAGTGGAACTTACTTTGCAATTGATTCTACTTCATCCACCTCTTGCTTTACGACAATGTCTACCAAAGAATTCTTATCACTCTTGTTTTCCATTTTCCGCCACTAGATAATTTCTAAAAGTTTATTAAATCGAGTGAAATCGCAAAATTGTAAACAAATAGACGAAATGTCATGCGTTTCTCTTGAAGTGAGTAGCGTTTTCAGTGGGCAACGGAACCCCAATTTGATATTCGATATATCGGTTTTATGCGCCGAAATGCGCGATTATATTTTGCGAAGTTCAGAATTTTTACAATTTTTTACAGAATGAAACATTGTGAATTTAATTATTCTATTCTGGTTCTATCCGCGGAGTTAATGGGGTACCAGTAGCCCCTGATGTAGCAAACGAGTTCAATATCTTCAGGTCGCAAGGTGACACGACTCCTGAAGCGTGTACATCTGAAAGCATCCTCGAAAAGGTCGACGAGATACATCTCTGATGCTTCCTGAAGTGCTTCCAATGCCAAGTTGGTGACTCTATAGTCCCCATGAGATTGTAAGATCGTCTTGACCAATCGGGCGAACTTGCTTATAGGGATTACGAGCTCTTCCTTCTTGTATGGTTGGGTTGAATCACTTGACTTAAAATCGCTTGTTGCAGACAAATACTGGTCAGAATCCTCGTTCAGTGACACTGGTGAATAATAGACGTCGTTGTCGTCATGTGAAGACTGCATTCTTCCAGTTTCAGGCTCCTCAGGTTTAATTCTTTGGATAATTTCGTGAAAAACTATAGATTCACTGATGGTCACTTGAAAATTGCGGCAATATCGAATTCGAACACTGCCATCTTCACAGTATTGCCCGATGGAAAACCATGTGTTGAAACGTCACACTCATCCAAAATAAAAACATTGGCGTGCGGCAAAACTCGGCAGAATGGCTAAAACTCCGCGTTTCCGTGCAAAGAGACACCCCAAGCGACCCGTGCAGAAAGTGAAAACTGTGCCAAGTCCCCCATCGTCAAATTTGGACGTGAAAATTCAATTGGTGGAGCAGGAGATCAAGTTTGCCAAGGCTCTTGCCGGCCACGAGCCGAGAATCCAAGCAAAAGTGCTAAAGAACCTTAAGAAATGGCTCACACTGCGTTCGCAGAGTTCCTTCCGTGAGTGATCAATGGGATCCTTAAAAACAAATCAGGGATTGATGTGGGGTTTGTGTTGCTATTTGCAGCTTTCAACAATCAGGACTTTTTGAGGTTATGGAAGGCGCTCTTCTATGCAATGTGGATGTCCGACAAGCCTCTGGTTCAGGAACAACTGGCTGAGGACATTGGCGCCCTGTTGCATTGCTTCCCCACACCACAGGTCAGCATGCAGTTCTACAGCGTATTTCTGCAAACGATGAACAGAGAATGGTATGGAATTGATCAGTGGCGCATCGACAAATTCATGATGGTGAGTGGAAAAGTGTCCGGAAACTCATAGACAGTGTTTATATCAGTCTTCCTTACATCACAGCTCATCAGAAGAGTTACACGACAGTGTCTGGTAGTGTTGAGAGACAACAATTGGCGCCTGGATTTGATAAAGCAGTTCCGGAAGAGCTTCAAAAGTCACATTTTTGGTGAGATGCGCATCTCTGTGGGATTATCCATGCACTTTCTGGATTTATATCTCGAAGAGGTGGCCAAGGTGTCCGGAGGAAGTATCAAGAGAGCCACAGTGACAAGTCTCATTCGTCCCTTTGTCACCATCCTGGCAAGAATCAATGACACTCGCATTACTGTCGCTGTGGTGAAGAATATTTTCCACAATCTTCTCTATCAGAGCGATTTGGGGCGTCAGTATCGCGAGAAGTTTGAGGTGTGGAAGAGTTTTGGTTTCCCCACAGCTTCCATTGATGATCTTGAGATGGTGGAAGAGGCGAATGATGCTGAAAGCGAAGAGTCCAACGATGAGGCGAATGAAGAGGAGGCGCCAAGTGAGAAAACGGCCCTCGATCCTCGCGCTGGGCGAGTGAATGTTGTGCTTCCGGAGATGAAATTCAATCCAAGAGCCATTCTGAAGGTGTTGGAGAAGGCTTTGTATGATCCTGAGACAAAATCCAAGCCTCGGAAGCGGCTAAAGTCTGTAATTTCACAATATGAAAAATTCGCAGAAGGTGTCTTTCCACTGGGCATTCAGCGAATGCCTGTGCTTCGCGACGAGGCGGGCAAGTTGCCGACGATTGAGGAGAAGGTTGTGGAATTGGAGGAGTTTGAGAAGAGCTTGACATCATCAACGAAACTCCTGAAGTCCTTGACAAAGTCCGAGAGAAAGCGCTTCATGAGGAGTGGCAAGAAGATTGAGGAATTCGTTCAGGAGTTGAATAAGACCAAGGCGAAGGTTAATGGCGTGGCTGCTGAAGTCACCAACGGACTGAATGGAAGGGCGTCAGAGGTGAAAAAGGCCCCGCCGAAGAAGCGAAAGGTGCCCATGTTCAAGGAGGAGCCTCTGGATCCGTGGACAGAGCCTCTGGAAGAGGGTGAGCAGGAGTACTTTGTACCTTCGATGAAGAAGCGCCTGGAGAAAGCCAACAGGAAGTCCGACGAAGAGAAGACAGTTATCAATCCGTTTGCTGTGAAAGCAAAGAAGCTGAAAGTCGCACCGGAGAGTTCGAGTGTGAAGAAAAAAGTGAGAATTGCTCTGGAGAAGAATACATTTCAGGACACGCATCAGTACTTGAAGCAGGTGCGAAGCTCTCCGCAGATTCCGTATGATTCCAGCCGGAAGCCAGCCAAGAGTCTGCTGAAGCCGAACTTGATTCCCGGACCGCTGAATCCGTTTTATATGAAGAAAATGAAAGCCAAGAAACTCAATTTCACATCTTAGAGAAATTTCACATTGACTAGGGAAAAAGACCTCTAACAAAAGTTGTTGTATTGATGGAAATAAAATATTCTTTTGAATATTTATAAGAAAACATCTATATTTGGAATATACAAGGATTACTTAAAAGAAAACTTGCAAAAGATTTTTGTGCTGCTGGAGAAAAACCGTTGGAAATATTGTAGAAACAGAGAAATAAAGGAGATGAAAATGGAAGAATATGTACAAAAGTGGCTGATTTCCTCATTCTCTTTGGAAGTTTCTCGTGGAGTTGAAAAATTATACATAAAATAAATAAATTGTGGATAATTTCATAGGAGAATTGTTTTTATGCAGCAAAACAATCACTATCTTTGACATGTCAGCTTAATGTTTTATTAACATACAAGAAGCCAGATGCTGTTTTTTTTCCTTTAAATTTCTCATTCAGTGACTATAAACACTGTGTTTGCCAATAAGTTTGAGTATTAATTCACGTTTTAGACAGTTTCTTCTCTGCTCACATCATTCTGAGTAAAATCCTTCATTAGACTCTATGAAAACACTTAATCGGCAGTGGTTTTAGCTGTACTGACGCTTCGCCTTTGTCGCCACTTCAAGATTCTCTAAAGTTTTACAACGAAAAAGATCCTTTTCGGCCAATTTTCATTTGTACAATTTTCGGGAAAAGTTTCTTTTTGCTCAAAAAAAAATCATGACATTTTACCAATTGGATAATTTTTAATTTTTCTCTAATTCTCTTTGTCTTAACTTCATCGACACTCTATTTACACATCAAAGTACAACCACTTCTCCGATTGAGGTGTTTTTTTTTCCTAACACTTTGTATCTTTTAGACAATTTTTCATTTTTTTTTTTCGAGTTCTCAGGATACATTTACCATGCATTTTAGAAAGGTTTTTCAATGTTTTATCATGTCTCTTTGTGAAGATTCTTCAAAGTCATCGAAATAATCTTTTTTTTTTCCTTTTTATGATAATAATTGTTTAAATTTATACAGTACATGCAGGTTTCTCAACCTATAATATAAATATGTTCTAAAATTGATAGTAAATACTTTCTAAGTTCTTTTTTTCCATCAATTTTCAATGCCATTTGCAATGATTTGCGCTTTTTTTTCTCTTAATATTCAGCAGACACAATATTCCATTATGCTGTATATTCATCATAGTTTTTTTTCTGCTTACATACAATACATAATAATATATAATGTGGTGTATATGAAGCAACATTTTTCAATTTATCGGTATAGATTTTTCCTTTTTTCTTTTAATTTGTGTGTATTTTCTTTAAATGTCTTTGTGTGGGATTTTTTTGCAACAAAAACGCGGCTTTGATGAAATTTTCGCAGTGTTTCTCTTTGTCTATAAGTTTTTTTTTTATTCACAAATTAAGCTCTCATCATTCGGCTTCGAGCATTGTTAATATCTCAAATAGTTTAATGTTATACCTTTTAATATATAGTAATAATATTCTTTATACAAGTGCCATGTTTGCATCATTTCTCACGATGCTTACTTTTTCCACTCTTCCTCTATAACAAACTTTAAATATTGTTTATAATAATAGCTTCTCTTTTTCATCTCTTTTCCTTTGTTTCTCAAACATGAATCAATATATATTATGTATAAGTTTATGTTGATGATTGTGGGATGATTTTGTGTCTTATTGTGTGTTAATGTGTGTTCATCTCTAAGTTTATAAAATTATCCTTCCGTTATATATACACACACACTATCTTAAATTGAAATGCTTTCTAGCTGAAGGTTGAGATTCATATTGTGAAATAAGGACTTTGGCTTAAAAAAGTTCTTATGTAAAACACTCTCTTCACTTTGTTCTTCCATTTCTACGGCTTCTGTGGTCCGTGAAGATTGTTTCTTGTTCTCGTTTAGACACTAAATATTTGATTTCTTTGCATTTAGATAGACTTTTATAGTGGTTTTAAGCGACGGTTAGAAAAATTATACCCTTTATTTTCACAATATTTAGCAAATATCTGTGAATATTTTATCTAGTATTTACGTTGAAAAAGCTAGAATGAAATTAGTTTAATTCATTGATAAAACGAACACATTGGAAAGACAATTTTGATTTCAAATTATAGGTATGTTTTTTTTTACTTGATATGCTGAGTCTTTCTTAAATACTTTTGTGGTATTTTTGTTTATATCTGCTTAAGTTTCGGAGTGAAAACCAAAAGCTTCAAAAGCATCTTCACTGTCAAATTCAACTCTCGATTTTTCTCCGCTCTAAAGTACATTTTTTCTAGATTGGCTCTTGGTTTTCCGGATGACCATCAGTGAAGAACACGTTATGCATTGAACACCTTTGAGTATTTTCATTTTAAAATATTCTTTTCTCCTTATCTATACATTAATCTTAAGAGTAAATGTTGCATCTTCGTGCAAGTTTATTAGAATAGATACTTTTCATTCATCTTTAAGAGTGGTTATGAGATTTTTTTTCTCCTCCTCGCTCGCCTCCTTGTGAGGTTAAATTGTAAATAAGTTTTAAAACACAATATTTCCTTGTGTGTCGTCCTGAAGAGAAATTATACAATGTTTTCACGCTATTAAAGCTACAGTATATCGTACACATCTAATTAAGCTTTCACTATAATTTATTCATATTTGTTTTTAGAGCGTTCTTTATATTACTTTTCTTGCATTTATATTTTATACGTCTTTTCAATTTCACCTCTTGTATATTTCTCTTCATACTGAGTGACTAGAATATGTTATGCTATCGTTTTTCCTCGTCGCATTCTTTCAAAACGACTCCTCGCGACTCCTTTTGCCCACACTGGAGAGACTCAGCAAATACACCTCGAAAACCGCCCACACTTTCTCTCAGTCACGAGTGGCGGATTTCAGAAGAAGGGCGAGTGATATAAAAGCTTCATCGGGGATGACATTGAGTTAGAATGCTCAAAGCGAAGGAGGTTCACTGGATGTATTTATTGAACTCCATTGTGGGATGACTCTTGAAAGTTGCCATTTATTACGATGTTGTCTATTGGAATTGATTCACTTTTTAGTGTAATGCTTTTTCCGTTTATCTTTTTTTTGGTGTAACTACAAATTTTCTCCCCCTCATCTTCAACGTCCATTTCTCAGTTTCAACTTTGTATTGAGTTTCTTTGTCTGGGTGTTATTTTTTCTTTTTTTTCAGTTTTATATCTGGATCACTGCAAAGGCGCGCATTTTACACACAACGTCCATAAATGATGAGTTATCGAACTTGAATGTTGTGATAGATGAACTTACAAGTATTGCCACAATGATAAATTAATCTACAGATTCACGATGAAATATGTGGATTTTCGATGAGAGTGAATGTTTCCATATAATTACAATATAAATATACATACAATTAATCCCAGTTGAGATTCATCTTCTCCGTCTACAAAATAAAAACATATCCAACTACTTTATATTGAGGATGAGACTCTGCACTTAAATACACTGGCTAAGATGTATAAATTGGATGAAATACCATAGAATATTTCATCACATTCTCTCAGAGACCATTAATTCGGTCTTTTTCACCATCATCGTCCACTAAAGATCGGCAAATAAGTACTATTCACAGTGTCAATAAATCCTCCATGTCTCCTCGTTTAAGCGTATGACTCACTCAAGTGCTCGAAAAAGTACTCGAAGTTGGGATCGTCGATTCCGGGGATTGTGGGGCTGTTGGGGAGTGCTACATTCCTATATTGTTGCTGAAATGTTGATAAGATGTCGCGTATCTTTGCAATGATCTCTTGAACTCAGGCATTCGATTCCTGTGGATAAAATGGAAGAACTTCACTTGAAACATGTGCAGAAATTAGACTCTTTTGGTCCACATTTTCACGTGCACAGCAGTGTAATGTTTAATTTCACACATCCTCCAAAGTAACATCGCTCTCGCGCTTTCGTGTAATTAAATGATTGCTGTTAAAACAGCCTGTTTCGAATATTTTCTGCCACAAAACTCGCTAACGCAATAACATGTTAATGCATGCATAATGGCAAATTAAGAAGTTGTTATGAAATTTAATCACACTGTGTGGAGAATTTTACAAAATTACACCGAGATTAGGAACTTCATGAGTATGACACTTGAATTTTATGGCAATCCTCGGCATAAAACTACCGTTTTGGCGCAAATAACTTTTCCCTCCCCCTGTCAGAACTTTACAACTTTCTAAGCATGTGAAAATTATTCTTAATCTCAAAGCATACCTTCAGATTATCAAAGTAATGCATAATCTGCTCGTAGTCCATGTCCAGGTCGTCGAGACCGAGACTCTCGCCGGGCCCCAGATCGCTGTCCTCACTGTTGGAGAACATGGGATTGCCCACGACCGTGGCCCTCTTCACCTGATGCTGCGCCCGCGCTGGACAGTCGCCGGGCGGCGTCACGAAGCCCCCATTGTCATCGGACTCCGATTCTGTGCTGCGCGGCTCCTCTGCCGACTGTCTCTGCTCCTTCTGCTGCACATCTACCAAGCCTGTAACAGTCAATTAGCACAATTATTCACAATCCCGCTGACTGGCTTCATCTTTTTCCGCCCACTCGAGACTTTGCCAAATTCCCATATTAATTGAATGAATATGAGGGAAAAGCGTGCGAATTAAGCAAAAAACTTCAGCATTATTTGCCATTCAGCAGCTCTATAATGTGATGTTCAGATTCTACCAGACATTTGTGGTAAATCTCATACAATCTCTGCAGAAATGCTCAAGTGGCAGGTGTACTTGTAATTATTCTCTGCTTGTTGGCTTTCTTTTCTCTGACTCATTATCTAAATTAAAACTGCCCCGTGTCTCTAATTTTTAATATAACATCTCCTTTCACGACAAAAAAGAGTTCCACTTTTATTCAAAAGGACAAAAAAAAACCAGAGAGAGAACATCATAAAGATGAAAATCGGCATTTCATTCTCCTCTAATTACAATTCCACTCTCAGCGATGCAATGAGGAAGGCAGAATCCATGATAAAATTACTTTTGCCTTGGCTTTCAAAGTTGAGTTCCCAGGGAATTGTCAAGAGGGTCACTTGAGTCCTCTCACAGAGTAGCGCACCCTTTTCTGCATGCCAAAAGAGGGCGAGATAGTTTCACTGAGAACAATAATGTATAACGAATTTGGGGTAAACCTATGAAAACCACCCCTTGAAAGGATTTCGCCGCTCTGTTTGCCATTGTCACAATTGTTTAAGCGCCGCAAAATTTAATTAATAATATTTAAAGTGTGTGTGTGTGTGTTTCGCAATTACGACTTGACCAGAGCTTCTGCAGAATTTAAAGCTCATATTGCAAAAGAGGTTTAGGGCGATTGTGTGGAATAAAATGGCTCACAATACGATCATATTTTTAATTGCACATCAAATTGATTTTGCCCTTAAGAGGATTTTGCCAGTATTTTGCCCTCCGTCTTCTTTGGAAACCCACAAATCATTCAATTTTCCTCAGCGACGAGAAGAAAAATGGGTCTGATAAGCCAGCGTGGTGGTTCGGGAAATAATTCACGAATGCTACGAAGGGTGGAAAGAGTGACAAAGTACAACTCACCAATGCCTGAATCCAACATTGCATCAGCGGATTTTTCCGTTGAATGAGCATCAGCGGCATTTCTCTCCTGTGTCACGTCACCCGATGACTTTCCAATTTCCCCAACTGCCAGCGCCTCGCCCGTTGGCGTCTGCCTAGGTGACTTGGCGTACCGACTCTGCTCCAGGAAGATCTCCTCCACGTGGTGCGCCGGCGGCAGTGGCGGCGGCGAGTCCATGTTGAACAGGGCAGCGTTGATCTGCTGCTGCGTGTAGTTGAGATGGTGCTGCCCATGCACCTGAGCCTCCTGCATGATGGGATAGGGCGACTCCGAGGCGGACGAGCTGCTGCCCGCCTGCATTCTAGCCGCACCACTCGCGCTGCGATGATGCTTGTGGTGATGTCGCCTCTGTGGTGGCATTATGCTTTCCGGGATGGGCTGTTTCGCGGCGAGAGTGGACATATTTTCAGTCAGAAACCACCCCCAAAATTGCCTCGGCACTCGCCATGCACAGCATCATCATAATCCGCCTATTAGCGCGTCAGACAATTATTTTGGATGTGTGAAGTGTGGTGAGAGTTTACGAGAATATTAACAAACTAAGCGTTTTACTATCGCGCATCAGAATATTTCAAAGCTAAGAAATTACTGCGACAATGAATAAATAATTCACCACAGAAATTAATGTTATATATAAAAACTTAAACCATTTGAAGAAACACGCAACTGGGCGGAGCACTTGAGTGGGCGTTTGAACAGACAATCTCATAAGAATCGAGCAATTTATCTGCAACAATATTGTAAGACATTCCCATGGGAATTGTGTAACGCCAATCAATCCCTTCAATATAATGAGATGATGCTGTCTGACGAGAAAACCTCAAACGCATTTAGTCTGTGCCATTTGCAAGCAATAGCAAATAGTATCTTACCCTGTGCGAAATCCCATTCATATAATTAGCATTTGCGGTGACACCGATGTTGCGATGTGGCGGAACGGGTGGACGATAATCCTCACGGTTGCCCTCCGGCCCGGGAATGCCGTGGGGCGGCAGAGGCGGTGGATTTCCATCCGAGAAGCTTCAATGTCACAAACATTGAGAAACAATTAAAACACAATTTCATATAAATTCCTCTTTGCAATTCTGAAAATCCTCAGTGCGAAGAGACAAATTCTCGTCTCATCCTTTCTCACTCACTGAAATTATGAAAGCAGAGCAAGTCTCTGTGTCCCAGATATCAAAATTCCCAGCTTTAATTGAGCGAATTTCCATGGAATTATTATTTAAGTTTGCAAACGAGGGGAACTGAATTGAGTGGGAACTTTGGTGCAATTTGACGATATGATGGTTGAGAATTAGGAGATAAAGCTACATGTTTATTTCACCCTTGTTCCACGTGCCTCCACATGCCATTCAAAAACTATTAAATTGCGAAAATTTATCGACCTCGTGGGAGATAATTATATCTCAAAAACAATTCAATTTATCATATCTGTCGACAGAGCTTTAATGACACTAAATTTGCAATCTTGATTGTGATAAAATACACACAAAACCCACGACAAACCGAATTTCCTGCATTCCGCCCACGAAACAAGGGATATAGTAAAAATTCAAAGGGAAGGGACAATCCAATTTGTAGTGCTGTGTATTAAAATCTAATTTCTTTCACTGCTTTTCAGTGCTTTCTTGAGTTAATTATAAAAATATGTTGGGACTGAGAAGAATTTCCTCCTCACAAAGGAAAATTAATATCCGTTTCCTAACACAATGAAATCTGCAGCTACAGCTGAGAAATTCCAATTGTGCGTTCGTTCCGGCAAATGCATTTCCTCCCAATGGTATTCTCAGTACGTCATCATTTATTAATTAAGAGAGCAAAAACATGGACTGAGTTTGAAGAATTCAATCTCATGAGTAAAGTTTGTTTGTGATAAAACAACTTCAAAGCTCTTGCGAGCACATTAATAATAAGGTATTTTTCAAGCTGAATTTTCACAGCGAAAGGGAAGCATTAGACGAGCCAAATCACTCTCTAGCACTAAGAAGAAGGGCATTAGCCAATTGCTCGAGTAGTTGTTAGAATACTTATTAAAGTACTTTGAGATTCAGCAAGTTTTCCTGCGGGAAAATGAGATGAGCTCAAGTCTTGAGGGCAAAGATGAGGGTGGCGAAAACGGGGACGGGCGTACAAATGGAAATGGATTGTCAAACTAATGCTCAAGTATGATTAAAACTTGTAAATAAGAGCACGACAGGAATTTCAAATGTCTAATGAAATGTGAATAATGGAATAATTCACATAAAGCTTTCTCTTCGGAATTATACGAAGCGACGTAAGATTCGATATGTTAATGGGAATTCATTAGAGACATCTTGACATAGCACATGAATATCTTGAACTCCTGAAGCCCCATCAATTCCGCATCCAGTTAATTGTGAATAAAACTACTCACTCAAGGGTGGGCTTGCAGCGGCGCTCCCTTTTGTTGTACGTCTTCGTGTCAATTGATGGCCCGGCCGTTGTCATCGACGGTAACTGAATGTGATTGGGGTTATCGAAGCTGGTTGCCTGGACGATTGCATCGTCAGGGTCCACGTAATTGAGATTCATAGGGTTGCTGGTGATGCGCATTTGAGTTTCTACACGCCACAAGAGAGAAATTGACGAACCAGTGATTATATTGTGCCGCACAAGACGTCGCAGAGTTGATAATCTTTCGCAGAATTGTAGTTAAATGATCAGAGAACTCACCATGAACGGATGTACGGTTGTTCTCCTGTTCTGCTGTCGATTTGTCAAGAGTCGATCTGCCCAGCCACACCCAATCGTGGGCATTTGTTGTTGGCTCTCGAGGATGTCGCGGCTCTCTTATGATCCCAATGCTAGACAGAGCTTTCATGTTCGAATGATCGCTCTCACTGACCGATTCTATGCTCACAGGCCGGAACTTTGAGGCGTAGACAACGCAAGACACCACAAAGATGGCAATGGCGAAGCAGAATGCCGTCAGCAAGACGTACATCCCGATCTCCAGGGATGTCATGTCGGGATGCGGCCGACTCTTGTGCGTCATCTCAGGAGCGCCCACGGCTGTGACCACACCCCCTCGATGCTGCCTCGCCTGAACAGTTGGCTCGTGACTGTTGTCATCTTTCAGCGGAATTCCAATGAGGATATCATTTAGATCTCCCATATCCCGACCACCCTTCCTCTCCCTGCCGGAAAACCCGTCGTTCTGCACGGTGTCCGGACGCCCCGGAGAGTCTGTGGAGCTGAAGTCCACTTGAACGGTGGCGAGTGCTGTGGCCAAGTGTCCCGGATTGATTTTGGCATTCTGCTTCGACAGCGGCACATTCTTCCTCAAACGGCACTCCTCTGACAGCAGCAGCGTCACCCGCAGCAAATCCCCACTGCCCTCGCCCACGGCGATTACGCGTGGGTGGTGAGAGGCGAGCATGGGAGCAAAAGCCACAACTTCAGTGTCCAAGCTCTCCACCAGGAGGAAATAGTCGTCCACTGACACGTCCCTGCGTTGGGTGGGAAAAAGGATCAAAGTTAAATCGGGATGAATTCTGGCGTATCGATTGAACGGAGTGAAGCGAACAGGAACAAGGCGTGGATGAAAAAATGCAACCAACACACTATGTATAACAGGACGGTTGCACAAATAATCTCACGTCATGTTGTGAAAAATGTGAAAAATTGATAGGAAATTGAGGAAAATTGGAGCGTTTACAGCCAGAGTTGAGAGACTTCGTGATCAATGATAGAGATTGTATTTTGTAAATCTCTATCTCTAATCTAGTATTTCAAAGAGCTTTGCCTCTGTGTACTACCAATGAATCGCACTGCGCTCGACAGCTTCGTTCATTCTATAGAGATGTTGTAAGGATTGCAGAGATCAGATGAACAATTAAGCTGTGTACAGAAGCTTTTTTCTGTAATGCCAAAAGCATCTCTTTGCATGCTAGGGCAACTTTTTTATCTTCCATCCTAATAAATTGTGTGACTTTTCTAACAAATCTCACATTTAATCCAGTCCAAATGGGAGAAAGAAGGAAGTTGTGTGGAAGTTGAAATAATCATCTAACTTTCAGACAGTCACTTGAGAATCAGTGTTTAAAATAATTCGTTGAATTTTCAATAGAGGACACCAATTCAATTGAATGGCGAAGGATAGGGGGAAGAAAAAACGGCAAAATCTCTTCTCTATGGCGCGCTCTGTATCTTTTGAGGGCGGCACATAGTATCTCTCTCTCGCCATTTAGCATAAACCCCTGTGTACACAGGCAAACAAAAGAGAAAATAACATCATTATCTTCAAATATGCAAAAAGTCAAGGAAAACATCTCAAAATGTATGTTCTTGGGATGTTTATAAGTTTACCCAAATGCTGCAGACAGCCATACGGTTCATTCTTTGCTAAAGGTACACCCCATCCCATGAAATCTTAATGGTGGCTTTCTTTCAAGCACCACATTAGGTTTCCAGGGAATTTTTGGGATATCAAAATGAAATATTCAAACACTGGCACATTCTCAATAGCACGGACGAAATTGTTAGGCCAGCTTTTCCGCGTGTTCCATGAACTGCTCTTAATTTGCGGCAAATTCACCGTCAAAAGGACTCACCTGAGTGGCGTTCGAGCACCGTCTGAGAACTCCAAATCAATATCCAGCAATCCTTCCTGATATTGAGCCGTGAGACGCCTCGTTACAGACGTCTCGGCGATGTATCCATTGTCAATAGTGCTGTCTGGAGCAATTGTGAGCTGCAATCCTGACACCACGCGCACAATAAGACGGCTCAGTGTCACCTTATCACTCCCCACTCGGATCTCCTTGGCGCCAATTACGCGTCCTGTGATTGGCGAGAGCACCTGAACATCCGTCCTTCCCATGGCTCTGCCTTGCAGTGTTCTGCCTCTCAGCGTGGCGATCTTTGGGTCGGCTACGCGCAGCAAGGGCTGCACCAGGTCCGTCACTCTCAGGCCAGTTCGTCGGGAGATCAAATAGCTCACTCGCCCGGAATCCTGGTCCACGGCCAGAAAACGAGCGTACACTTCGACAGGACTCTGCTGATAGCGCGCACGACAAGTGGCCTTGTCCCCATTGACGCCATTCGCGAAATCCTCCCCATGGTGACTCCAGCCGTAAGCGCGCTTCTTGCGTCTCATCTTGCCGCCACTGCTGCTGAAAATAAGACATGTACTTCCACCACATTCTACGCCAAAGCAATTTCGGCAATTGATGTAAGATCCAAAGTGTCTCGCATTTGGCGACAAAGACATCAATACTTTGCTTGCCTCGCACGTTCCCCAATTGCACACCACTCACCTGCTGTAATCTTCGGGCACCTTCCAGCCCTTGATTTGGGACAGGCGAAAGTCTGCAACCAGCACTTCGAGCGGAAATTCCGGCATCCACACGGTGAAGCGTGCCCGACCAATATACGTTCCGTATTTCACAATGATTGATGCATTTGACGAACCCCGAGCCTCAGACCCATCCACATACACTGAACTGCACGAGGAGGAGACCTGGGTAGCAAGAAAAGGTTTATACGTTTGTTGTTGAATTAAGAGAAAAGGAGAGAATCAATTGAATTGCGCTCGTTGCAGTTCTTCTCCTGTAAGAACGAACAAATGCAATTTACCCACCCCCAAAGCCTGGCCACATAAATTAAATCCCAGCGGTAAGGAATATCTCCCTTATGTTTTGTGTGTGTGTGTGTGAAAGTCTGCGTTACTTTTGCAATTTATGCCCATCCACTTCTGACTTGCAGCACTTTCTGCAAACCCGGCAGAAGTGCAGGCAAAAAAACGCAATTTCGCGCACTCAGAAAAAGTCGGAACACAAATTGCATAAGTTTTTGGGTAAATACAGTGGTTTGCATGTTGATTGATTTTTTATACAGACAAATTTTTAGTGAAATCACACATTAAATAACTAAAGATTAATTAAACAATTCTTCTTCGTTTTTTACATAGTATTATATTTGCATGGGAAAAACGGTACGAGAACGGTCAGTTTATGCGGAAAAGGCGATAAAAGAGTGTTATAAATTTAATAATTTGCATGAGAAAAACCATAAAGTGTACTTTTTGAATAGAACTCTACCGAAAGTTCGTTTATTAAAGGTTTGCACAATCAATATTGCACCGCAAGCTTTACATTTGAGCAACTGATTTATGCATTGGAAATTCTTTACAATGTGCTGTTGGATTTGCATTTAAGAGTAGGTGAAAATGCACATTTTACTTATTTTGAATAAGTAATAATAAAGAATATATCAACGTTTGTCAGGCGCTGCATTAAAACCTGTGATTTCCTAATAATGTCCGCAGTATTTTTAACCACAAAGGCTTGACCCAATAAGTAGCATGATTTTCAGCAACAGCGTAAAAGCTCGCAGTCATATACATATGTATAGTGAAATGGAGGCGCCTGGTGACTCTGAAACATCCCTCCATGTGCGCTTATCCGTGAGCTATAATGCAAAATGTGCATCACATCCTCCGCATATCCTGCAATTTCCATCCACACGAGTGCGATTCACTAAAATGGGTATCTTTTCAGCTGCTTGTGCACGTCAAAGTTTCTAATCCTGATGAATTTATTGAGTGATAGCGAAGGTGGAGCAGCTCACATCACTCGACAGACACTTTCACATGACACGTCTCAGCAAGCAAGAACCCTCTTCATGTGAGTACATTTCATAAATATGTTTCCCGGCACCTCGGCGATAATAAATTATTTCCGGCATCAGATTTTAATCTTTTCTGCTGTCATAGGAGAAAAGAGGTGGAAAACTCCACACGAGGGATGCAATGGGGTTTTTGTATCTGATGCAGAAAAAAATGTAGAGAGAGAACAAAAATACAGAATAACACAATTTCTGTCTTCCTTCTGCCATGAGGCGAACTCGGGCAGAGATATGTATGTACTTTTCCGTGTCTATAGGTGTGAAATAGAATGGTTGGCGTTTGCCGGAGCGCCAAAAGAGAAATTGAGAGAAGATAGTGTGGCAGAAAGTGTGAGAAAATGAACAAATTTGCAAAAGTGCGCTTGAATCTCGTACTCCACGTGCTTTCTCCGTACACCCAGAATTCCTATCAACTTCAGACATTATATACTCCCCTTTCCCATTTCCCCCTTTTTAATTTTGCTACTGAAAAAGGTCCAGAAATTGAGAGGGAATTCAGCACACAACGACAAAGGCGGAAATTTTTGCAATTTTTATTGTTTCTGACACTTTGTCGAGTCCTTTTGTCCCGCCTCACCAATTCTCGAGGCCCTTATTCATTTGTCAAATGATCAGAATAGGTGAATTTTCGCATTAGGGCGCACCACGCTGGGAAAAGCTCCGCACAGAGCTTCGCAATATATGTGTGTGTTTGTCATGTGACGGGGCTGGGGAGAGGGAAAATCAATAGAAACATTTCATGAAAAATAAGCAAATAAACTAAATCGATGACCCAAAAATATACAAAGTATATATAACAGTGAGAGAGAAAGAGCTTTTTTTTCTATATGCCCACAAGGCTGGTCATTTTCCTCGTCTTCCATTTGATACTTTCTTTTCAGCTCGTGTTGTGTGTAAAATGAAAGTGAAAGAAATGATTGTAATAGAGACGAGGAGAGAGAGAGAATGGACGAGGTGAACCATTATGTAAGTTAAGCTCCTAAAGAACAAGGCTCACAAATGCTTAGCACTGGAAATCACACACAAATGTAATCGGAAAATATTGAGCATTCTCTCACTCTCTCCATTCCCTTTTCATGGCGCGCGTCTTTTGGGGTTTGCCGAAATGAAAAAGAGATTTTTCTTCCCACAACCTCTGCACGTTTGCCTTTCTCCTCTGCGGTCCTTCGTGTGCCATTCAGTGGATTGAGCAGTGAAATGCTTCTTTTCCAATAAATCGATTGCCAAAAGGAGTCAAGCTAATGATTTGGAAACAAAATACTCTGCCAATTGGGTTGCGACGCACAGAATTTTTCCCTTTTTTTTGGAATAATGCTGAAGGGTGAATTGAGTTTAGAGACCGAACGTTGCATTCAATACATTGGTAATTGTCTCATGTAATTTAGCTGCTATGGATTGGGCGAGTGATGCCAATGGAATTATATCAACACGAAGAAATATAGTTGTTATGTGAGACTTTTCTTTTCCTCTATTTCCAATACACAACAATTTCTTCTTCCCATCTTCACTGTGTTCTCATCCCCCATTCAGTTGATGTTGAACACATCAGCGCTTAGTTTTCCAACAGGACAGGCAAAGAGGAAAAGAAAAGAGGAAAATACAATTTGAAAAGTTTCAAGAAAACTTTTGCTTTAATTCCATTCCACTTTTCGCAACACTTCTCTCTGTCGAGGTGGAGTTTCGTGGCAAAAGGAGTCGCAAAAGAGAGGATATTTTCAACTATGGCGAAAGGCTGAGAGCGAGTCTGGAAATTTTGCATAGTGAATACAAGTTTAATATTATGTGCCTTTTTGTTTTTTCCGCCTTATGGTGCACACAAAATATCAATGGATTCTGTCTGTGAGCTTTGGCTGTAAGTACGAGTCGAAGCATATGGAAGTAGTCTCCGGAAGCTCTTCCTGCCAGAATTCTGAAAATTTCATGCAAAATATTCCACTCTTGATCCTGCAGGCTCGTTTCCACCTTCCTCATGGCCAACTTTTTGACTCACTTCGCTGTTAATTGAATAAAATATGAGATGAAGAGGAGGAACTCTCGTCAAATGCAAACTTATTAATTCCCGCTCCTAAATTCCCACATAAATCCTCTCTGGGGCAGAAAATGACCAAGTATTCCGCTGGCAGTAAATAAAAGGAAAAAGCGAAACTCTCAGCGAAGATTGTGGCGAATTTCCCGCAACTTCCCATCCAGGAATGGAGGATCCGGAAAATTGGTTTGCCTCTCGACAAAGACGACCATCACATCCTCGCCGGCAATCTCTCAAGTAAATAAGGTTAATGGCACACAGTGGACTCAATGCAATTTTCTTCGCTTTGATAAACCAACAAAAATATCAACGAGATAAATTTCACCCATTTATAGTGGTGAATTTAAATTGCATCCCCACACTGTATAAATCCATCCATTCTGTAGATCATCAACAGAAAATGGAGCAATATGTAAGAGTATTGAGTGAGCTGGCATCCAACCCACCAACTGTGTTACAACACAGCAAAAGGGAGATTTTCACACCGAAGCGAAATTAATCTCGACTTTTTTGCCTGCACTGAAAATGTTTTTCAATAAATATGCGTGTTTTTTGCGCTTCAAATCGCGTGGGAGCGAAGCTTTTTGCTGAGCTCAGAGGGGAAATTTGCATCACTTTTCCCAAGGGTATTCATTTTGCAATATTCGAATTATGGCCTCTTTGCGGAATTTTTACATTGTAAAATTGAATAAAGGCTAATAGATATTTTATTTTTGGGTAAAAATGCTACATTTTAAACGTGTGTGGGTTTTGGCTTAAAGGAAACATTTTTACTTGAAAATCTTAAAATTCTTTCTATTTCACAGTGAAATATTATATGTAATTTGTCTGATATATACATCGGTCTTTAAACTCCACACGTCATTAATTGCATAGTGATTATGAATAAATTATGAAATTTGCCGTTTTAGCGAGTGATTGAAGTTAATAGAATTTTGATATTTAATATGATTTTAGATGCATCGTTAAAAGCTCCCAATTCCAATGGCTTCAAATGCCCGAAAGCTCACATCAAGAGCTAATTTTCCAATCAAATGACTCACGTGTATGAGCCGAGGCTCTACTAACTCTATTATCAGAATTTAATCATGTGCAATCAATTTGATGCACATTGAAAGAGCCTTTCTCTTGTCGTCACACGTTTTACAAATCACTCTCAGTGCTCAATTCATTCTGTATAGGCACTAGAATTAGAAAACTTTTACGTCAAACCTTCCCAGCACAAAATTGAGCTTGAGAGAGTGCTTTTCCGAGGCGCTTAAGCTCTTTTCAAACCTCCACATAGCCATATTTCATATTGGCAAAAACTCCCCAACTCCACCGCATGTATATATGAAAATAATTGCTGTAAATATACCTCTTAAGCACTTTGAGAAACTTTCTCATCAATATTAGATTCCTGGGAATAAACTTTCGGCTCATTCTTTCCCCATTTTTCACCACAAAACTTCCCCCAGATCGCATCATACATAATTAAATATTCATACACTATCGCCAAGCTCAAAGTCAACTCTCGCGATGCAAACTTTTTCCAACGCAAATTTGAATCCATCAAATTTATAATATCGATTTTACAATTTGGCAGAGAGGCAAACTCCCTTGGGTGTGTATTTGGCAATTTAGTCTGCGAAGGGACATCAAAATCCTCTTCACTCTCTCTCTCACTCTTCCAATTCCCATGCCCAAAAGACAATTCCATTAATAGGGCGGAATTTAATTATGACGTGAAAATAAGGAAATTGATCATCAAATTGGCTTCATAAACCAATTGGGTATCCTTTGTGCCAACTCTCGGATGTGCATTAGAATGTGTTGTATGTTGGCTTGAAGGGAAAGCATGGGGACTAAAAGCCATTTTCCTCTTCCCGCCTTTGCCAACTTTTCAGTCCTACACGAAAGGGGTGGCGGAGGGTGTGAGAGGAAGAGGGTATTTCCTTGAAAATTTAACGCCTCTCTAGCGCAAAGGGTGCTCCAAAGACGATGAGGTGGATGAAAAAGCGGAAAATTAAAGGCGTAAAATATGATTTTTAGAACATTCCACAAGGGATGATGACAGAAATTTCACACCTTTTCCCATACACACCCACACATACTTTGGGGATGAATTAGGAAAATTTGTCAATGCGACGATTTTCCCGAAGAATGCCCGAGTCCTCAAGACACGAGTGGGAAACTTCATGAATTGGGCAGAGTTTGAATGTTTAATAGATGTTGTTTCGTCTCGTTAAAATTTCAGCAAGTGTTTTTCACAATAAATATTCATTGAATTTTTAACTGGGTGGGTAAATAAATGAATATCTCTATACGTTCGAAATGTATCGCAACTCACAGAAAATTGTGCTAATTGCTTCTCTAGTCAAACTTCAAAATAAAATTAAACAGCAAAATGATAACCTGACTAATTAGTTCTCATTGTGAGAACCGTGACGGAGTCTTCTAAAACAATCAACTCTGCCATCAAATGAGGAGAGTCTTATTCGTGGAAAATTCAACCGTATTTTGGAGATTTCCACCCTCATAACCCAAAAACTTCTTGCATTGCACGTGAGCCAGCGTTTTGCCATCCAAACCAAGAGAGTAATTCACAGTTGAGAGCATATTTGACAATGGCAGATAAGTTAAGAAGTGAGTGGAAAATTTATTCCTTACCTTGATAACACTCTCATCTTCTGCGTGACATGAACTCTGCAATGTGACGTCAGCAACTTTTCCCGCTTGTGAGACAATAAAAACTTTCATTGCCTGCGAAACTTGCCTCCCAGTTAGAACAGCTGTGTTCATTACTTCCCAATTCTGCAAGAGATGATAAAAGGGGTGAGAGGGCGATATTATCGCATTACTTATTCACAAAAGGGGAGGTACCTTTGAGATGGGCAGAACGGCTTGGATATCATCCTTTTGAATCTCCAATTTCGCCACTAATTTTCGGCGCAACTCTTCTCCTGGGACGCTGCCCAGGCTCTCCATGGAGGAATCCCTCAGCTTGGGACCATCGTGGACATAACTCACTGACCACACGATCCTGCCGCCATCCCAGTGCTCCTTTGTGTCATTTGCCACCTCCAAGAGCCACGAAAACACTTCGACGATCCTGATTTTCAGAGATAAACGAAAGATTAGCTCCTCCCATTCAAAAGCTCCGCCCTCTCTCTAAGGAAACTCAATTCTCTGGGGCAAAATTTGACCTACAATCATGTGTATATTTACTTGAAACAACTGGTGAGTAAATTAACCCCCTTGTCTGCCTCAGCATAAGTCAATTAACCACTATGTAAATTGGCCCGAAAGAAACTTTCCCTTCCGTTTGCCCCCCAAGAGAGGGTAGTTGAAAGTTTGGGCAGAAGTATGACAGGTGCTCAAGAGTCAAGTGTTTCTGCTCCAGAGTCAAAGATAAACAGGCGGGGGAATAATGAGGGGTGTGTAATTACTTGTTTAAATTGCTGCTATCGCCATTCTTTCCATTACTGTCTGGGTCCTGGTCCTTCCGGAACGCCGTAACACGTGCCACTGTGTGCTTTGGGTTCTCCTTCTCCAGCGAAATGTTCCACTCATCTGAGGACGCTGTGGCGCCCAGAATCCGCATTCCCGCCTTTACACGAGCCCTGCCAGTGAAAGAAGACATTTAATTGAAATTCCCACGGACAATTGGAGGTGGATTTCATGGGTTTAATTGGATCAATTCAATGGAAAATAGAGTGGGTGGAATTGAGTGCATACTCGAGAATTTTAATTATATTTTCTTTAAAGGAGTTTTTAGCATTCTCTAAATTATAAAAGTTCGCAGATGAGGTCACACATTTTTCGATCAATAAAATGCAATTAAGCTGAAGATGAAGAGTGTCGAGAAAACTAATATAAATCTGGCTGGAGGGGAAAATAATCGATGCAGATAATTCTTTTTGGGGAAATAAAATGTTAAATAATCTCAAGGGTTTGTGAGGACAAAAAGTTGAAATGGAAGGACTACGGATGAAATATGCTGAATCCTCTTGAAATATTCATCGACAAAATGAAAATCCCGTAATCTCTTCATCAGCCTCTCACCTCACAATGAAGACGGCGACATTCTGGTCGGGCTGTGACTGAAGGAAGACGGGCACGTGGATCTTCGACATGGGATAAAGTGGCTGATGTGGCACCAGCATTGTCAGCGTCTCATCCGCCCGCAGCTCCTTGTAGGCTGCCAAAGCCGGCACCAAAGGGACCTACAATAATAGAATTCAACTTGCTTAATTGCCACTTGTCCCCTTATTTTCGCGTATCACACCGTAAAAGCTCAAAAAGCTCCACAGTCAATTTCCCTTTCGACAAAATTGCCACACAATCCATGCATAAGAAAATCATAATTTAGTTACAAAAGTACATAAATTTCGTCAGTCAGAAAAAAGGCACATTCCAACCCTCAGTAAAATTATGTTATCGCTAAATGTCATCATGGCAAGGGGGCAAAAGCTCATTACGTGGAATTTCACCAGCACGAACGAAACAAAGCATCAATTTGGCTGTGATAAAATTTTTAAAGTTGCAATTTCAATAGGAAAAATACATAAAACTCTGTTACAGCATCGATTCAAATTACAAAATTTGCATATGCATAAACAACGTGAAATATAAACTTTTATATGTTATAGATCATTTTATTATTTATATTTGGGTATGAAAGCACATCATGAGCAGAATTTAACCTCGTAATTGATTAATTTCTTAAAGTGGACATATTGATGTTAAACACCTTTTTGGAGAACAATTTAATATCATTTCATGAATGTTATAATATTGTAATTGTGAGCGTCAAATCGTTAAAAAAAAATTAACAATTACTGTATGCAAACCACCACAGATTTTCACAGCAAAATGTCACCCACAAATTTTAATTAATTTGCAAATTGTAAAAACCACAAATTCGAGTTTTCATATTTTTCACAGCAATTATAAGTACTTTTTTTTACAATTCTTATGATGCAAAAAATACTTCCTTATAAGGGAAATAAGATCGATTATCTGAGTACAAGGGGCGGATCTGAGGTAATAAAATTCGCTGCAACTTTCGCTATGTATCAAATTTTATGTGACTTCAAGAGGAGATGTTTTGATGGTGGAAAAATTTACGATCCCGTCGAAATTCTCAAGCCACAAGTTTCATTACAAGTTTATTTCCTTTATTTACAGGCGTGCACGAGATCTTTTGATTCATCACGAGAATGTGTGGTGTAAATAAGTGTATAAATATAAACATTGACGCAAATTGTATGCGAATTGCTCGACAGAGTGTTTACGCATGACAAGAACTATTAAAATTCGCAAAATGCAGATGAAATTCATATTAGCGACATTGTTTGGCATTATGCAGAATATGTTCTGTGCACATAAACAATTCCTCCGAAAAGCAAACACACTGCGAATTATCATTTTGTCTGCCTTGCCATGACTCAGAATGGCGGGGTGTTAGCGAAGATTAAAACATTGATATCAACACCAGTTTAGCACCATCCACAAAATCCAATGTTGCAAAGTGCATTTGCAATATGTTAATGATTCTCACACCATTTACGGGTCCTTAATCACTTCCCCTCTCTGTTGATCGTAGCAAAATAAACAATTCCCGCTTTGTGTGTGTTTGGACATAAAATTATGCAGAGTGAATCAAATATTTGAAACACAATTTATGCTATTTTCTTCCACTTTGTCCAACTCCTTGTGCCAATTACGTTTGCCATCGGCGTCAAAGAGCACATGAGGCATTTGCATGGCTGAAGATTCAACCCTGAGCCTCGTCAAAGGAATGAAAAAATATAAAATTAGCATTTCCTCTAAAATATCTTCTCCTTCTTTTGCCTTTGATATGTTGTCGGCTAAATTGCCTCCTTTCGTAGCTGACTTTTCTCCCATGAGAAAATGCGCCTTATGAACTCAGAGTGGAAAAACAACAAAATACGATAACAGGTGATGAACACGACAATGTGGCGCTGAGGAAGGAAATCTTATTGTAACTTTTCTGTATTATTAAAATGACCGTAGTAACAAAGTGGAGGAGAAGAAATTTAAATGTGAATTATCCAGACTTCATATCGTCTTCAATAATACAAATTTGCAATTTCAGCTTACAAATGGCTCTTACGTGAAAAGTTTCGCTTTTCACGGCTGCTTCTCCGTTTGCCAATTGTGGGGCTAAACAATAACTCAAAACCTAAATATTTTCCAGCACACGTGCCAGAATTGACCCACTTCTCATTCGGCAAATTGCTCACAATTCCCAAGAGGACATTTATTGGATATTTCCTATGGGTCTCAAAGGGAAAAAATATTCCTACGTGATTATTGCTTATTTGCATCCATTTCCGCCCTTCTTGAGCGCCATGTATGGCGCTGTGTACAGTCCCACCCCGCACAGCATGGGGCTAATTGGGAGCACGAAGAGCATACTTTAGCAATTATTTTTCATAGCACATCAGCGTACATGGTTGTGCGGGGCAATAACAGGCGCCTCGTACTTACTTGAGCGAATGGTGTTAATGGTTGGATTTGTACTTTGGGTTCGCACTGTTCTGGATTCCTGGTGGGTGGCTCGAAGACGCTGTATGACACTTGCACGAGTCTCTGCGGCACTTTCGGCGGCATGGAGCGTCCGTCCTTGTCGGGCGGCGGCAACGGGGGCCACCAGCTCGACGGCACGACCACTTCGGCCACACAGACCCCATCCTCTCCCTCGGGCATGCAGCGCCCCTTGAGGGGCGTCCTGGCGCCCATGGCCACGTGGAGGAGGACACAGATCTTCTGGCGCTGCACGTGTCCCCCGGGATCCGCGCCAGCATGGAAGAGGACCCGCAGCACTGGCGAGTCGCGTGGAATTGAAGAGCGCACCAGGTGGGCTGATATGTCTAGATGAATGTTGGATTGCTGCAGATCCATGAGGGCCGCAGTGGCATTCTGCAAGAGAGATAGAGTGGCCGCACACTGTCAGGAAGCTCAAACAGAAGCATGTGTGCACAGAAGAAGACAAATATTGTCAGTACACATGTCATCATGTGAAATACTGCTTCCATAAACAATCCACTTCATCCCAATTCCAGCCAGTTAGATTGGCAAAAGACAACCAAAGCGGACCTTCTCGCCCCTTTGAAAGTTGAGGGCCGCAAAGTTCACGACACTCTGGGTGTGCGATGACTTTCAGGTTCAAGCCAGAGTGATCTTGCACTATCGTGTGTTGCACATTTCGTGTTGGCGCCAACCCAAAAGCTTAGTGGAAAATGCGAAAACACTCGCAAAGCGTCTCAAGGAGACTTTTAACTTCTTTAATGCTCCTCAAGTGTCTCTTGATAGAATTACAGAAACATAAATACAGAGCAGGAAATCTCTTATCCTCGAGAACTCACTCACGCGACTCGTCTGAGTGTAGGTGAAGACGGAGTAACAGACAAAGAATTTAAGGGGGATTTCAAAGGGTAACTGTAACGAATCAGTATTTCCTCCCAAGGCAATCACGATGGTAGTAAGTCAATAACTGATTTCAGTGGAATCTTATAATGATCTCATTCAAATATTTGGATATTGAATATTCAATTATAAAATAGTCAAATATTCAAAAAATGATTGTATTCCCAAGGGTGGTAATGGTCTGAATTCACTAGTAACCTTCCATTTGTAAGTTAGTTGACTCACCTGCATGTGTTCCGGCTGGGCCTCCACAACATCTGGAACAATATAGCGCGCCGGGACGGTTTGCTTGGTGGAGAACGGTCCGTAACTGGCGCGAATGGACACGGGCTGCGTCGTTTGCACAACCGTGAATCGATCCACGGATAGAATAGACTCTTGGCTGCTCTTGCGGGCGCCGGATTGATGGGTGGTGGCGATGTCGGACGCGGGCTGGCGAGGCGTGTGCTTGAGGAAGAAGCCACTGTCCGGAGTTTCGAAGTGAACCTCCACGGCGGCGGCGAAACCTGTGCAGACAAGAGATAATGGTGAGTGCTTTCGGCAAGGTGGGAAGCGTTGTAGCATGAAACAATGGCAAGTTCCCTCAACTCTCGCTGTACACCACGTCCAGCCCTTCTCACTCCCTTGGCACTTCGCCATTTGCGGCACGCGAAGATGAGGAAGAGTGCGATATCGTATTATTCATTTTTCGATTTTATCGTGCGCCCAGGTGCAAGACTTACCGTCTCACGAGTGGGATACACATTTTTCTCTCCTTCACGAATTCTCGCATATAAATTCACCTCGAATGGGAGGTGTAGCCACCGATGGAAGGTGGAAAAATATGAATTGGGTCAAATGAATTTAATTCTCTCGTCTCTATGGCGTGAGTAGCATTTTTTATTACACACTCTTCAACATCCTCAAGAAAATGTCTCTGTCTCCTCCCGACCGTACAAGTCGTCAATGCTGTGTAATTAAGAAGCTTTTATCTCACGTTTTACACCCCTCCTTAAATCCACCATCTCGAAGTGGGCATTAACAGCAAATAACCCACGAATGAATATCCATTTACACGACGACAATCAAACGCTTATTTCTGCCTTCTTCACTGTCAATAATCTGTCGTTGTGGAATAATTAAAGAATGAAGAAGAAATCTTCCAACGATTTTCTTCAAGAGGATAAATATCACGATTTGTCAATTTGATGATTATTTCAGTGCTCCGATGCGAAAGCTTTCAATTTCCATCCCAAAAAATCACTCGTGATGCGGCAAACAATTTATACCATTTTTTGCTTTAGAAGCAAAACCGGAGGAGAAACATTTTGACTATTGAATTGTATCTCGTCATGACTTGCGAATATAATCGCCTTTTCCGAGGAGAGAAAATCATCCAGCATGAATGGCATCGACAAATACATGCCAGATTTGTATTCAAATGATTTCAATTGTCAACAAGAGGGGCCCGTATTGTGGAATATGCCAAGCGACCTATCAATAAATTCATGGGCGAACCAAAGGCACAACATAATTGATTTTGGTACGCTAGGAATTCATAACATCATAAGATTCAATATTTCTCTGTGAGTCATGAGGAGAGACAGCGAACTATTTATCATGGGGAATTTTATTGCACAATGTTTGCAAAACAAGATCATTTTATGGCTTGTGCATTGGATGGTTAAATGAGATGCAGATTCCGTTCGGTGGCGGAAAGGATGCAGGATGGTGGCGCGCAAAGATCCCGGCGGCGGAATAAGATTCCAGAAACTGATGAGAATAAAAGCCACAAAATGCAAGAGGCCGGCGAAAGAGGGTCATTTGGATTCAGGCACCGTTCTGAGAAGTCACTTAAGCTTTCGTGATAAGATGCTCTCACGCCTCAGAAGAATTTCCGTATACTCTGGTCCATTTCATCTCACAAATTTCTATTAATCGAGCAATTTATTCCAGTTGAGCGAGAGAGAAGAAGATATTTCTTTGAAACACAACCACGTCTTGCAGATGAAATGCATGTCGATTCGGAAAGCTTTCAATTTGAACGATGAAAAAGGTGTTTTTCCGGCTATAAATATAGTTTGAAATATGCAGCTTTGAACTTATAGATAAGAGGATTAAAATTTATGTTTGCTCATAAATTTGATTGGGGGAAGTTTTGTGTGTACATTTTCCACCAGTTTGGCGATATAAAAGAATAAATTCCCATCTAATGGCTCAACTTCCCGTCCAAAGGTGCTAATTTTCCCTCCGAAATCATCTACATAATGACGAAGATATTTAGCAAGAAAGATAGCCCATCAAGAGTGTGTCAAAGGTCACACAGTGTGTGGATTGAGATGAAAAAGCCACGAGAAGAGATATCTCTTGAAAATCTCATGACTTTCACAATATTTCCCTCGACATTTTCATGGCACTTTCTGTGAATTGTTGCGAAGAAATATAAATTACGGCAGCCACAGAAGGAAGCTCAATGGATGTTTTTCTTCCTCTGCTCAGGCATCCTCAGCCATTGGAATGGGGAAATGACTTTTGCGGGGTGGCGAGGTGGGTGTTTGAGCTATTTAGTTAGTTCCGGTATCTGAATACATTGTATAAAGTTAATAATTCTTGCCTGTGATTCAATGACTTGTGATTCTAGCAGAGAAGCGTCATTGGCTGGGTGAAAATGCCATGCTTTTCATGGTTTCGCATTAATTAATGGTATATGTACTCCTGATTAAAGGGCTCGTTTGGTATGCGGAAAAACTTTTCAAGAATTCTCTCGCATTACAACTTTGAATATATGTCAATTACCCACACCCTCTCGCCACCATTAGTGCGCGCCTTGTGTGGATCTCTCCTCGCCATCCACACATTAAAACTAATATGCAAATTTATGCTGGCACTCTCAGATGAAATCTCTTGCAATAATTTGCTAAATTGCCCCCTTCATTCACTTCTGACAGACACGATAGTGGAGGAAAGTCCCTCATTTTCCTCCCATGCCAAATATCTCACCCCAGTCTGGCTATCGATGAGCAATCATTCGCTCATCTGTGTCTTTGCAATGAGACACTCAGCGGAAGATATTCTTTAAGCATATTTCTCGTTGATGCAGTTTTCTTACAACGGAATAAGTTTGGCGACAAAAATATTAGTTGGGATACAGAGTCAAATTTCCACATTTTCAAACGACACGGGAAAATAGGGTGATTTTAGCATAATTCCGTCGCTGGACACAAAAATCAAGATCATGAAGATGAAGATATACTATTGAGCAACATCGCTTCTGATGCTGACCACGATGGTGCATGACTGAGTGTAAAATTTCACGCTTTAAATCGATGCGACGTGATTGGGTCATGCGGTCATAACACATACGAGTAGCTATCCAATCCACAAGGTTAATTCTCTTCTCACCCCATCATCAATTTTATATTCTGACACTGCTTCGATACTCTCTTGGCAGTGCTGCTTACTTCTCTTTTTTCCACACATTCACTATACTTTCTAGCAGCATGGAATATGTGGAATCTTTCCCCGAGTTACAATAATCAATTGATATTTTCATGCGATGGCAATTATAGCGCATTGAGTAAGGCTCAAATGATGTGCAATTGAACTAGGAGACAATGCAGAAGTGGCATGTTCCGTAAGGCGAATGCACTCGAGGCCAAAACTCAAATTCTTGCTGGCATTCTCCTCAAAATTGCTCCATTTACTTCTTGCATTCTGTGACTTCACTCGTCAGTACATAAATATATTGTGAGAGCTCCTCGAAATGGGGAAGACGCCAAAAAATGCACTGCAGCATTTACACATATTGCTCGCGTGAGAGGACGGTGACACATTTCTCAACATGTGTGTTCCACATTAGAATGTCTTGTGTGTGGAGTTGTGCGATGGACGCACAAAGAACTCAACCATCAGTGGATACATGGTTTATTTACCAACTCCTCGCAGTTGAGTTTTAATTAATAAAGTGCCGACTGACGGATGCTTTTTTTGCCTACACTCGATATAACCATTTGATATCCACATGGCATTTTGATAGAGACGTCGAAGACAGATTTCTCCCTCGTCCTCAGCGTGCACATTTCAACCAGATGCAATTTGAGAGAATTCTCAGAAGTTCTGAAGCAGCGCTTAATTGCTTAAGTGGCGTATTTTCTTGCTCTCGAGAGGCCCATTGAGTGCATGTTTGTATTTTTCATTGTCAAGCAAGTGGAGCTCATTGAAAATTTAGCAATTTGTCGAGAATGCACTCAAATCCATTCAAAATTTAGAAGTTGCCGGGAAATGCTCTTTGTCTCACTCTATGGCGCGGTGTTACATTTTACACTTTGCTGTCTCTGCATCCCCACAATTCTATATATTTGTCAGTCTGCATCCATGATAAATCTATTCCACCTCAAAAAGTGGCGCTTAATTACAAATGAGGGTCGACCTAGTGTGTTGAAAAAAGTTTATGAGTACCTCTTTAGTGACTGTCGAAAACCATTAAACTAATTTAGCGTCGACAGACGAGTGTCTTTTTAGAATTGCACTAATTTTTAAAATTCAATTAAAGTGTCAAATGAGAAGACGCAATGCTATATTTTCCTCACTGCAGACATAGCCATTATTCAGGAAAAAAATATATAAATATCAACTCGCTGAGGAGAAAAAGTTGGACATGAGCCAATTAATTTTGAGATTCCCGAGATCGTTTGTCGTGCACCTTTTTGATACTGACACTTTTTGGGTTTTGCCAGAGCACACAAGTAAGGAGTGACGAAGGTGAAGAAAGTGAAAAATCCCCTCTTGAATGGCAACAACTTCTTCTTGCTAGGCGAAAATTTCACACGCTTTTCGGGATGGAAAATTCCTTCCTAATAGCATAATGAAATGCTGTGAATCATTTTCAATTTTCAACAGCGCGCATTCAGCAAGTTTATGTAACAATTCAATCTGACTCAAGTTTTAATTTACAATTACAGAACTTCGAAACGACTTAACTTTTGCCCTTTTCCATCTCTTTTTCCTGTCCCGGCATGTTGGAGGCGTTATCGTTGAACTGCGAATGTGCTACTCTTTCGCACACAGCCCGGTGTGTGCACTGAAATCGGACTTATCGGTGATTTCACCATTTATTTTAATCAGGAAGCCCACTTCTTGTGCCTCCCAAGATCTCCGCCTCTTCCTTCTTCGCCGCCGCTCTCACGTAATTAATATGTATCTCTCGAGATACAATGAACTTATGTAGAAGAATGGAGCACTGCGAGGCACAGATTGCTGCTCCTCTTCATGAACAATGCAAGTTGCATATATCAAAGGAGAGATATTTAGAGCTTACTGAATGTGGAGTGCACTTTATGCGTTCTACAAGATGAAAGTCCACTAAATTTCAATATGCACACTCTTACACGTCTTATTGCTACGAGAACACTTCTTCTCTTATTCCCCTGAGTAATTAAACCTATTAGATTGTATTAGGAACTCATATTCAGTCGCTGCGAAAATCAACAGCAAAATTGCAAACAAACAAGACACTAAACAACAATCC